CTGAAAGCTGACCATCCACACTCCGAGGTTTTACTAATCCGTTGTGCTTAACTTTATTAACAGGAAATAAATTCAACCAGTTCCTCTGCTGAAAAAGCAACTCAAACGCTAATCCACCTCTGACCTGTGAAACTACAAAAACCTGGAGCTGCAATAAGACAAAATAAATATATATATGTAAACACTCCTGGTGGTGTTTTCACTGGATTCTTCTTTCTTATCAGCTGTATGTTTACAGTTTGGTATTAGGATTTTAAGGGACAAATGGAAAACATCTGCAATATTTTATGTTAATCGTCACATGTATATATTTTTATTTTGGTCCTTGTATAAACAGCATATTAACCTTTTAACTGTCCCGCGATCTTAGCGCGACACTCAGGTGGAGCGCGCTAATGTCACAGTTAGATGTTGGGTGTGTAACAGACCATGAATTGGTGTAATGCCAGTATAATAAATTAAACACGTGTCTGATAAGCAAATATTTAGCGATGGAGTGAAATTTACAACTTCAACAGAGTCCACTCCTCAAGGAAGCAATCATTTCTCAACAGCTGGGGTCCAGACCCTCTGGGTGAAGTAAGGTGCAGAACAAGGCCTGGTTTTTACCAGGCTACTAATGATCTGGTTATGTTGAACCAGGAAAAGAAAGCATGAATACCGACGATTGTTTAGGACAGACTTTAACTTTACATCTGTTTCAGACCTGAAACAGATTGGGGCACCACCTGCTCATAACAGCAACGGTTTCTGATGGATGTACTGACCTGTAGAGCAGAGCTAAGTACAAAATGTGTAGTGATTAAAAACAGTTAATTATCCAGAAGGAATCTTTTGATTTTGATGCAATTCGATACGAGTGCATTGTATTGTAAGTGGCTGGCAGGTTTATGTTTGGAACCAGAGCATTTGTGGAGTGTTAATGGCAGCTGCTACTGGGCCCAACCTTTAAGTATATAAAGTATATTGTAATCTATTCTATTCTATTCTACTGCTAAAACATTAATGAAGGTGACCACAAAGAGAACACTTCCTAGATTCATTACAAGTTGCTAGGGGTCAGATTTTGGGTTTTCACACAGCCAGCTGGTCATATCCTGCAGTTATCTTCAAGATACAATGAGTCCACAAGGACCTCTTTCACTGGCGTCCTCTGTGTCTGCTGACTTTCACTGATGTAGACAGACAAGGTTCCTGCTCAGTTTTGAGATGTACAGTTAAGTCCAAAGTTATTCACACTCCTGTCAGTACAATTAATCAACTATCAAGCAGTTAATTAGTTAATAAATATAAATATGTTTCTCAAAACATAAAGCAATATGAAAGTAGCATCAGTTTTGGGGGGAAAGCTTTTTTGTCTTGGTTTTTGTTGTAGACGGCACACCAACAATGGTTTCCACCTTCTTTCCCCAATGATCAATAGAAAAATCTGTTCAAGCCTTCCATTAATTATGATTGGTTGACCAGATTTTTACTTGTTTTTAACTTGTATTGTGACTCAATGCATCTTTGGTGAGGAGTTCCAAGTTTTAAGGCGGGAAAGTGTCTCACCATCACCCTAATGTGTAGCTTCCTCCACAGACTACAGTCAGGACTCTTGTCTTAAATCTGTTAACGTTTTAGCTTGAAAACATTAAATTTATGTATTGTCAGAAGAAACCAAAAATGAATTAAAAACAAAAAACATTTAAACACAAATCCACCAAAACAACACTTTTGATGATTGCCAAAAATCATTTAGAACATTTTTGTTTTCACTCTTGCATGTTGGTTTCTTTTGAGTAAAAGCTATAAAACAATTTGCAGTTGGTACATATTTCTGTGGAAGAATGGAACAACACCCTGGGTATAATAAAATAGAGCTAAAAACTAATCCAACCCAGAAAGAGTCCTGCTGTCTGGCAGACGCCAGCAGGGGGCACTCTATTCAAACTCTTACTATTATGCAAAAACAGCGCTTGTGTCGCTTTGTATGGGTGTTCAGGATAATATAAAATCAGATGCACATTAGCTCTTATTAAAAAGAGTTTATGTAAAAACATTGAATCAGTTAAATATCACTGTCTGATGTAGAAATTGCAAAGGCACAATATGATAACATATTGTTCATCTCATCTGAATTACACTACGCCAGGGTTTCCCAAAAGTGCTAACCCAATTCCAATTTAAGAATGGTAGAAATTATCCAGGACAGCCGGTTGAAAAAATGACTTTATTATTATTATTATTATTATTATTATTATTATTATTATTATTATAGTTTCACTTACAAAATAAAAACCTTAAAATGGAAATATTAAATACAACATAAACTGAGTCTTTCATGACTCACATTGTTTTTCATTCATTCTAGTTTCATAGTAAGTCAGAACACAAACATTAGTGGCTTTCACTCAACAGCAGACTTTGATGTTTCCATTCATTAAATTTGGCTAAATACAGTATTTTTGAAATGTGAGCCAAATCCCAATCTAGTTGATATGCATCTTTCCTTTTCATATTTCAAACACTCATTTATAGATTCATTTTCTGTTAAGGTCTGACTGCTGTTTATTTTACTAAAATATTTTTTAGGTATGTCGCTGTGCCTTTAATTGATATAATTGTGTGGCAATGTGACAAATTTGTTTAGTTTTAGCTTTTTTCTTTTTCTTTAAAAAAAAGAAGTGTTTTTGCATGTCAGCGTAAGTTTTTGCTTAACATTTCAGTTGTAAGGACTTGAGAACAAATTAGCCTAGCTCTTAAAATGTTCACCATACATGTAGATGGGAAGTCATCTACATGTATGGTGTACATTTGATTTGCAAAGCTAGGCTAAGGTGGGCCAGTTGGTGGCTGTGGGGTAAACACCACTTCCATAGCCTGACTTAAAAATGCTATAAATTGCCATTTGAATTAGCAGAGAGAAACAGAATCTCTGTCCCTAAATTCTGGGAAGAAAATAGTTGTGTTGGTAGGATGTTCGAGAGCTTATGTAGGCGGTCAGTTTACCGGGCCAAATAGAACCACAGGACCAGTGTTTTCCTCATGTGATGTTTTGCATTTCAACTGAAAAAAGACATTCTGAAATAAAGGTAAGCATTTTTGTTACAGTCACATGTCATTTGTACATGCCGAGATAACATAAGTAGAAAAATACAAATAAAAAAGACTCATTTTACCCCATTCTACCTGCTAATTAAGCTAATATTAGCTCAAGCTAATGTGTCATTAAAGCTGGAAGTGGGAGAAAAACATTTTTAAGTGTCTATTTTTTTTAAGCTTTTAACTGTTTCTATTTTATATACATAAAATGAAAATAATATTTTGTCAGTTAACAATTATTTTTTAATTTCTTTCAAATCGTTGACCTTTGTAAGTCTAGCTTCTGCCATAGCTAGTTAATGTGGCTATCCTGTTGCAGAGAGCGGCTAATTGGCAAACAATTAAAAATGCACACTTTGTATCCTAAGCATTTTTTATTTGCTTATTTGTTTGGATAATCTTGAAACTTAAGAAAAGTCTAAAACCTGTTAACTTACAGCCTCAAATTATTTTCTGCAACTGTTTAAAAGGCATTTGGTTGCCTAATTATCATATATATTAGAAATGAAACATTTAACAATGCAAGAATTAAAAGGGTGAAAAGATAAGTACACCATTTTGATTTTGTACTGTCTCCGAATAAACTCACTCATACAGATGTAAAGGTTGGAACAATAAGTGTGTAAACTTACTGTTCGAGTTTATAGAACACGATGGTGAGGTGCTTCTGGAAAACTTCAGCAGGTATTAATGCTGAATACAGTTTATTTACATGTTCAAATAAAAAAAAAATATTTTGTAACACTATGTGTGCTATCACTCTGATAGATTCCCTGTCATGTTAGTATTATATATGATTTGATGTAGGCGTTCATCTTGATTTTTCCAAACTTCAAAATATATGCCTGCTTCTTCTGTGCTGAAGTATCTTTGCTGCTGGTGCAGATCAGTCATCCCTGATGGCTGCTTTCCTCCTCTTCTTCCTCAGGTACAGTTCTTTCCAGTTTACCTTCATTAAAAAAAAAGAAACGCAGTCATCATCACTAGACAATTTTTTCCTCCATTCAGTTCAGCCCAGTGTTCTACCCTGATGAGCTGATGCATTTACATTGCATCTTAGCTAACTAGAATATTATCAAAAAGTTCATTGATTTCAGCAATTCAGTTTGAAACGTGAAATGCATAATTTATATGTTCAACTTAAGCAAATAAAACAATGTGAAATTTAAACTAGACTTGAGTAAATGTGGTGAATTTTCACTGTTGTTTCCTTCTCATTGAACAATTCCACTCAACAAAAAGGTCACGAGTCTAATTTATCTCTGTAAAGATTTATTTTCAGACAAATGTCGCATACAGATTATGAGAAGATCACCATGCCCTACTTAGAGAATCGAAATGTAAATGAATTATTATTCAGTTACTGTTAGGTAAATTGTATTATTATCAACTATTTGTTATATCTTTACTATGTTCTTAGTTTATGTAGTCTTACTTATTTAGTTTAGTCATATGTTTTAAGGAATGTTTCTGTATTGTTAATCACTCTGCTTCCTTCCTCAGAGAGGGCCTCTCTGAAGAAGAGCAGTGACAGCAGCTCTTCACAGAACGCCCTGCTTTGACCTCTTAGATAGCTATAAAACCATCGCCGTGAAGATGTACAACTTGTCCTGCTTGATCCTGGGTCAGGAACTGGATAAGCTAGTGCGAGATAGATTGTGTTGTTAGTTAGTGATAATCTGGCGCTGTGACTGTGTGATGAAGTATCTTTCCCCCTCCCTTTAGAGTTAGAGCGCTCTCTGTGATTAGGGATCCTAAAGACAATAAAAAGAGAGGGGCAGGCAAATGTGCTTCAGAGCAGTAGGAGATTTGTAACTGAAAGCACATCTCTGTCTGTTCTCGCGAGTATTAAGAATCTAACTTTCTCTTGTCTTTCCTGTATTATGTGCTGTGTTTAATAGGTGTCAACTCTGACAGTTACCCTTATCTACTGATAAGCAATACAAGTAATACAGCAAGCTAACAATGACTAACACTAAAAAATGTTTTCAGGCTTCTAATTGAACTGAGGCCCCAGGTTATCCAGACTTTAATTATTTCATAAAACAAAAGATCTCTACTTAATCTGCATTTTTTTTTCTGATCTAAGGGAAAGGGCAGGGAAGGTCTTTGAAGCTCTCAGTTATGACAGATTTCCACTTTCACAGCAGGCAACATGAAAGATCTCCCAAATAACAATTGGGGAATGTTGCTCGCTCTCCAGATCTAATGCCTTGTTTCCACTGAGCAGTACGTAACGGGTCAGTTCGACATGCAGGAGAGAGCTTCCTCCACCAGGTGGCCTCTCATTGGTGAGGTAGGGTTAAACCCACACAGCTAACATGGCGGCATACTAGTGTGACGACAAACGTGATTCACCAGTATGCCTCCACATAGTGAAGTTTTTCTGTTGGCCAGTCAGCGGACAGTGTTGTGTAATGCCAGTAGCTCCACCCTAACCACATTACAGTTGTCCTCTGAACTGTAGGGGTCCAAAGAATGTTGTGGTATTGGTCACACAACATTCGCGCTGCTTTTACAATGTCAGCAAACAAAATAGTGTAGTGTACCAAACTCTGCCGTACTGCTCAGTGGAAATGAGACAAAAGGCTGCTGACAATCAAGGAGGACTACAGTCCAGCTTTTTATTTCTTTGAACCTGTTGGTCTTTAGGTTCCCACATGACACATGACATGCTGTGCATACTCTATGAGCTGCATTGACTTTCCGCACATGATTGGGATTTCATAGTCCCAATCATTTTTGCTAAATTTGTCACACTAAACCTACAAATTTAGCAAATTTGATGAGCCATTTGGGCACCCCGTTTGTTTCTCCATCTGGGCAGCCTTCACACACCTGTCAGCATGGAACAGAGAATGGTGGTGACACTGTGCATTCTCGCCACTGGGTGAATTGATTCTCAATTGAATCAGCTTGGTGTCACGTAACACAAAGTACACATATATGGTCATAAAAATCTATCTTTGGATGGACTTGTCAGACAGACATCCGCTTTGAGTCTGCTTTGAATCTGTACGGACCTCCATGGATTGAAGTAAGGCCAAATATGTGGGACCTTTAGAAGGAAGGAGCAGAGGCAATGAATGTTTGTCCAACAGATTTGGATGGTTCTTTGGATCCCAGGCGGTACTCTGCATCAGTTTTACAGCTGTTGAAAGAACATGGTTATTTACTGAGCTTATATGTGGGAGGTTCTCCAGTGGATGGTGACGCAATACAAGTAGCTCAGAAAAGTCACTTCTTGGTTGCCAGACAAACAGGTGATGTTGATTAAAAGAAATTGAATGATTTTCTAAACATTCTGGGAAATTAGGCCGGACTTGAGGAAGCCACATCTTGTTTACACACATCTCATATTTGCAAGCCTCTTTCTTACTCCTGGATGTACCGGCCACATCCAGGAAGCAGATGGCATGTAGGATCTCCTATCAACCCCAAGCATGAGAAATTTCAACTAAACTTTATCAGACAAGAGGTCTCTCTCACACAAGGCACCAGAAAATCCCCCTAGATATAAATGAGGAACTTTTTAACTTATATTCACTGTGGTCCCACAAACACAGATCAAGTCAACAATTCTTTGCATGTTTTCTTGGAATCAAGGCCAAAATTTAGATGAAAATTCAAAGAAAAAAAACCACATATATTCGGATCAGATGTACAGATAGCATAAAAGACAAAGCGACACAAATAACAATATACGAGCAACTGAAAAAATCTTTTCACCATCCTTTGAGTGGAGGATGAAACACAAACAGTGGTCAGACCTCTGGTAAATTTATTTTCTTTTGTTTTTTTGGAGGATATCCTTCCTGAGAATGTTCAGTCTTTTGGGGGCCATATCTATAAGAAACAGTGGGGGCATTTTTTTCTTGCTCCCCATACACTCTTCTTTAGAAAAACATTGAAGTTATTTCAGCTGCTATTGCAGCGACATGAATGCTGGGCCTCTCAGACGGCCGGTACCGTCCCTGATGGTTAAATCTCTAACAGCTTGGGTTTGGCTCATTCCACTCTGTTTAGATCATTTCAAGGAATAACAGTGGAACATTTCAATTTTATCCAAACTTTTTTTCATATTATTCTAAAAATAGAGGACTTAAATCTGCCTTATTGTTTAAGAAGACAACACTCAGACATTTGTTTGCCCTTAATATTGATTTATTCACAGCCACATATTAAAAATTCAGACTGACCCAAACAAACAAAAAAAAAATCAAACTACTAATTAAGTTCTGGATATTAGCAAAGTAGAGCAATATTGGAATAAGTGGGAAAGCAGACAGGAGAACAGTTGGTTAATGAGACACAAAAAGACAGAAGCGATTTTAGATGAAGCAGAAGCAGCTATCGGGAGATGGAGTCGGGGCTGGGCGCTTCTTTAGCTGTGGTGGTGGACAAATCTGGGAGGGAAACGTGCATAAAACCACAAGAGAAGGAGAAACCGAAAGGGAGAGACAGAGAGTTAGTACCAGCAGTAGAGTTTTATCAGGACAAATATGAATGCTGTTCAACACAATACAGAACCACTTGGCTTTTTAATCTTACGACAGAGTATTTTCATTTTCTTGAAAATTTTACCTTTTCAAGAAAATGAAAAGGTAAAATTATGAAAATAAAGTCATGCTATTACAAGAATAAAGTCATGATATACAGTCATAGAAGAGTAAAATAATGTTATTCCCACAGAAAAGTTGTATGAGAGTAAAGTCAAAATAATGAGAAAAAAGTCTTAGTATTAGAAGAATAAATTCATAATATTGTGAGAATAAAGTCCTGGTATTATGAGAATAGTCATAGTATTACAAAAAAAGTCATAAGAGATTAAAGTCAAAATAATATGATAAAGTCTTAGTATTACAAAAATAAATTTGTAAGATTATGACTTTAATCTGGTATTATTTCGACTTCCCTTTAGTGTGACTGTATTCTTGTAATATTGTGACTGTATTCTCATAATTTCATTTTTACATTTTCATTTTTTCTTACTATGGCCGTAACACTCCGTCTTATAACCTTTCTATCATATGTTTGCTTGCAAGTGTAGCTTTTATGGCATTGGAAAAAAATTAAAATTATAAATTTTTTATGCTGTTTTTTGTCAAAAAATTAGATCTTTAGAAACACTAAAGGCCTTTTTTTTTCGGTTTATTGCTGGCATTTGGCTTTATGTCGCTCCACACACCAGAGAACAAACAATCTCCTGCGGCTGACAAGAGCTGCTCTGACATAGCGAATGACAAGTGACTAACAAATTCCTCCAAAACTGGCACATTGTATCTTCACTTTGGAAAGAAATTGTTTGAAATCAAGAAAGCAAACGTTACAATTCATGTGAATAAATGAAAACATTAATGATGTTATGATTTGAATAAATAAAGATGACCGAGAAAACAGAAAAACTGCAACCATGCAGAGGTTGATAGAGCAACAGCAGTATCAACCTTTTGTTAGTTTAGCTGTTAGTTTAGTGATTTATAAACTAACAGCAATATTTTAAAGTCTATTCTCTGGGCTACAGGGAGCCAGTGTAGGGACTTTAAAACTGGTGTTATGTGCTCCATCTTCCTGGTTTTAGTCAGAACGCGAGCAGCAGCGTTCTGGATCAGCTGCAGCTGTTTGATTGATTTATTAGTCAGACCTGTGAAGACGCTGTTGCAGTAATCGATGCGGCTGAAGATAAACGCATGGATGAGTTTCTCTAGATCCTGCTGAGACATCAGTCCTCTAATCCTGGAAATGTCCTTCAGGTGATAGAAGGCCGACTTTGTGACTGTCTTAATGTGGCTCTGAAGGTTCAGGTCAGAGGTCATCACTACTCCCAGGTTTCGTTCTGATCGCTGGTTTTCAGTTGTAATCACTGAAGCTGTGCACTGATTCTAGTTCGTTCCTCTTGAGGTCCAAAGATAATAACTTCAGTTTTGTTTCTGTTCAGCTGGAGAAAGTTTTGGCCCATCCACACATTTATCTGTTCTAAGCATCTATTCAGTGATTGGATGGGGTCAAAGGTCACCTGGTGACATCGTAATGTAGAGCTGTGTATCATCTGCATAGTTATGCCAGATAATCATATTTCCTGTTATAATCTGAACCAGTGGGGCCATATAAATATTGAATAAGAGGGGTTCTAGGATTGAACCTTGGGGTACCCCATATGTGACCTTTGACCTCTTTGATGAGAAGTTTCCAATTGAAACAAAGAAATTCCTGTTCTTTATGTAAGATTCAAACCTCATCTTGAAAAACACTACTTTTTTTTTCAAGATGAGACCTGTGAGACTGAGCAGAGGAACATATTTTAAATAAGACAAAGGAGACAAGCTTACAGTAGAACTTACTAATACCTGATTACAACTTTGTTCTTTGGCATTAAATAGCAATGAAAAATAATAACGGAACTGGATTCTGTAAAATTGAATAAATATTAGATAATACATGTGAACTGGCACCTCATGAATAAACAGAACTGCATAGTTGTACATCTTACTTTGTGAATTTTTTATGCATTTATTTTGTTAAAATGTAACTTTAAAAAAAATATTCTCGGAAAATTAACTTTATTGCAACTGTTTTTGTAAGTTAATACTACATTTTTCCAGTTTATATTTGCACTTATTTTCATTTTTACTTAAGGCTGATTCTTCAAACAATAATTCTGTCTAAAATACATGCAAACTATATCTGACCAATCAAATTTGTCTATGACATTACAATTTATAAAAAAATAAACTTCCTTCTTTGATCTAATAAACAGTTTACCGCCTGAGCTGTTGCTGTCTGTCACGCCTCTCTCCTGATTGGTTAACAGCAAACACGCCTCATTCCCATTGGCTTCCTCTGGCTGATTGTGATTGGCCCACGTGTAACCAGTGGCATACAGTTGCGTGGTGATTGGGCTCAGCTGGCTGTCTGTTTCACAGAGCCCCGCCCCCAGGAGATGTTGCTCCACCCCCAGCTGAAGGTCTGAGGAGAGAACAGCACCTCTAGTGGACATACATTTGAACTACAGGTACAATGCTGCAAAGTGGAAGCAGTCGTTTTAAGAAAACTAGGGAAAAAAGCTATAAAATAATAAGTAAAGATTCTAACTGAAAAGAGGGATGAATACAAGAGTCCAGTAATCCAGTGCGTTGGTTAGAGCATAAATATTCTAAGTTTCTGGGATCTAATCCAAAGGTTTATATCTCTCTGGATTTTTAGCATTTGTAGAAACCGCTGTTGTTTTACAGTCTGAAATAGAGATATACTGATCTGATATCAATATCATGCCTGATCCATGAGGGCAGATCTATTCAGTATAATTCTATGCTTTAGGCTCTGAGCAGCATCATGCTTTATTATTTATTTTATATTATATTGACAATTCCTAATAGCACTTTCTGAACTCCTCGAAAGGTTTGTTAGTTTATTTTTACAAGTTAGTCAAAATATTGTTTCTGTCAGTTTCAGTTTATTTATTAGTGCCTTTAAAATAACTTTTATACTCCTAACCTAAAATCGTTGTTTTTACTTGTTTGAACAAGCTTGTGAAGCTGTTGGTGTATGTAAGTTATTAAATAAATTTGTAATTCAGTTCATTTATGTCTGTGTTTAAAAACAAAGAAACATTTTAAGTCCATTCAGCACTTTTTTCTGTATTATTTATTATTTTTCTGTATTTTTTCTGAGGTCTAGTGTCGGCCAATACTAGACCTCAGAAATCGCTACCAGTATTGCTATCAGAAGAGAAAAAAGTGGATCTGTGTATCCCTACTTTAAAAATATTACTATCACTAACCACGCAAGAGAGAAACATGTGTTGCTCCTAAACCGTCCTCCTTCTGTTTCTGCGCTGTGACCAGTCTAAGTCTTCCTGAGTGTTTGGTGCGTTGGCAGTCACTCAGGAGGCTTTTAGCAGATTCACCCGGCTGGGATCGATTAAAGAAAAGCTTTTACACTCCGGCTCTTCCCAGAATCGAGTCAGCTCGAGTCAATCATGTGTTGCGCATCTTCTTTCCCCTCGTTTTATTTTTTTTGAATATCCACCTTTTCCAACATGCAGTTTATCTTAAATGTATTAGAGAAAACACTTTTATTTAACTTCCTTCAAACTTCACTGGAGGAAGTGATTCTGCTTTTCTGCAAGAAACGGTTTGATGAATTATTCACGGCTGAGAGCCATCATACAGGTGCACTTTCCATTGTTTTGTTGCCATAGGATGAGCTGAAGCTCTTTGAAAAGTGATAAAACAGTGATGTTCTCACTGTGCAAACGTAGAGCCTCTAATTCCATCAGGAGTGAGGAGCTGCACTGTCTTGCAAAAATATTCTGATGCTTTTCTTCTTTTCTACATTTAGCCATAATACGACCACACATTTCTATGCTTTCTTATCGGACTTTTGTGCAACAGCCCAACAGAAATTAGTGAAGATTGTGAAGTAGAAGAAAATTACATTTGATTTCCACAAATACTTTGATGAATCTCTTTTCTGCTGTTAGAGCTGCTATCTTCTGGGGGAATATTTCGCAACTTTTACCCATCTAGAGACTGAAAGTGTTCCTTTACAAATCTGATTCCGTTAATGTCAAAAAAAAAAATTAATTTCTCAATTGCGGTGTTTCCATTTGAGAAACACCACAATTGAGTGTTTTCTCACTCAGTTTCAGTGAGTGAGACTTTGACTTATATGCTCATGCAATAAGTCAAAGCCTTGATCTAAATCCAAAAAAGAAGACAAGACAAAAAATGTAAAGTTCAGAGGTTCACTTCATCCAGTCTCTGTGAGTTTGAGCAATGGTGCTGGATAAAAAGTTCAGTTTCTAGCTGGTGAAACCTGGAAGTGGTTTTACAAAAATTTCACTCAGGGCTGAATACAAAGACAGATTTCTTTTTTTTAATCTATTTGTTTCCCTTCCTCTTCAGAGTTATGTGCTGCTTTGTGTTTGGTCTTTACACAAAATCTCATTGAAGAAATATTGAAGTCTTTGATTGTAAAATGACAAAATATAGAAATGGTCAAGAAGTATTAATAGTTTTCCAAAGAGGTTTAACTTCAAAAACAGCAGTGCAAGAAAACTGATATGCTGTGGTGCTGAGAGATTATTGGGTTCTCTTTAGTGTTTGACTTCAGTTTTAATATAATAATAAAATTAGATAAATTGTGTGATTATGGACATGTGTTCCTCCCCAGCATCACACCACCAACTGGACTCCACTGACAACAAGACCAGAGGCTAAAAAAGGAAAATAAAAAAACCCCAATCCAGCCACAAAAAAAAAACAGAAACTATGAAAACAACAGAAAAAAGCATGGCATGCCAAACAGATCCAGTGATTCTGAACATGCAGTAATAAATAACAAAGGTTCAAACATTTCATCTCTTTTCCTAGAATATCAAAGAATTTTATCACTGTGTTACTAAATTATGTCACAAGTAGATCTAGTATAAGTTGGACAACAATGATGACTACACAACTTTTTAAGAAAAAATCTGTTTATGTTTTTATTAGATTTACCAAGTGCTTTATTATTACCACAAATGTATTTATTTAGGAACAAGACATGAAAGCAATGTTAGATTTAACAGAAACCATTGTCCAGTCTGTAGGCTAAGCTAAAGGCTAATTAGCTGAAAGCTAATTCATAGACCCAGTCCTTGGTTAGGTTTTTAAAAGTGAATCTTAAAAACTAATAATACAAAGAAACCTGATTAAATAAGAATAAGTAAAATTCTTAAAGTAAAATAAGAATCAAGGTGCTAACTTGTAAAACTACCTTTACAAATAAACTTATCAGAACCAGCAAAATGAGCCTTTAATAAAGAAAGAAAGAAAGAAAGAAAGAAAGAAAGAAAGAAAGAAAGAAAGAAAGAAAGAAAGGAAGGAAGGAAGAGAGAAAGGAAGAGAGAAAGGAAGGATGAAAGGTTCTGAGCTGTGTGGGGTGTTTGGATTTGAGCCTTTTGTTCATGAGTTACATTCTCAGTTCATTCCCTCTCAGAATGAACTGCAACCAATTGCAGTTTTCTGGCCGATCACTAATCTTTTAAAAGCCTGACCTGCCAATGCCGATTTTGGCAAATACCAATTTTTGTTTTGTCTGAAAATCTACTATATAGCAAAACAGTTTCCAAGTTGGGAACAGTGTGGTGACTATTGTTAATTGCATATGTTCACATGTATGTAGTCAGGGACAGTGGCTGCTTTTCAGATCGGTGGATAAGATCGGCCAAGATTAAAGCAGCGGTAAAAAATCATTTTTACATATTTGTTAAACCTTTCACCATGTGTGGAGACAGATAATCTGTGAAAAGATTGATCTCCTCATGAGCTACTCCACCACCACTCCCAACCAAAAACAATCAGTCACAGCCATGAGGAGGGTCTTAGCGCTGTCAGTCATCCTCATGAACATGCTACTCAATGTAGCATTACAACATTACAGGAAAACCGTTTATCTGTCGTCATCAGTGGCTACTTCAACTCACCTTAGCATTCAGGACAGACTCTGCTAGCTGCAGCGTTGTGGGGACAGGAGGATGAGCAGTGCCACATGGATGGTGATTGACAGCGCAAAGATCTGCCTACTGGCTCTGATTGGTGGTTTTTAGTTAGCACTGTGGGAAGGCAGGATCTCAGTTTTTTCACAGATCATCTCTCACACCATACCAACAACATGGTGAGTTTAAAAAAAATGTCAAAAAATATTTTTTATTAAAGTTATACACTGCAGCTTTAAGAAAACCAAGAGGCGATTTATCAGGGCACCCGTATTTATAATCATCTGTTATTTTTATCCAGCCCCTTTAGTGATCAGCAAAAAAAACCTTTGAACTGAACCAGAAAACTTTTCCTCTGGTCATTTTCTCTGTTCTCAAAGTGGTTTTCATTCATTTTTACAGGAATGTTGAACTTTTCTAACCGATATGAAGTCAGGATTGAAGTGTTTACCTTTCATTGATGGGGGGGCGTATGTGCTCTGCTTCCTCTGAGCGGCGTCTGAGGCCTGCAAGACAAAACCCCAAAACTACTGAGAATCCCCCGAAACATTTCCTTCTGGGTGAGTTAATATTGGTAAGAAAGGGAAAACTAATTCTGACATAAATACTGTATGTAAAATAATTTAGAAGGAAACCTGCTCTGCAGTTATTTGTTTCCACATGCTGCCGTGAGGCTTTAGCTGGGTAAAAATCTCAAACATGAGTTGATTCAACATTTGAAGAAACTCAGTATGACAGTAAAAAATATCACTACTCTAATCAGTCAAAAAATGTGCTTGCCTCATTACAAATGATTACCTTTGCATTGAAGGAAACATAACATCAGACAAAGATAATTTGAAGAAATGCAGAATTCAGTTTTATGAACAAATTGAAAAGCTCTCCAATGTAACCTGCGCCTCTGTGAAAACAGAAATACAACCATGTTAAATCTAGAAGTAACTATGATTATGTATATTTTTTTTAGGTTCAGTTTTCTGGTCATGTTTAGCTGGTTTTACTTGTTAATCAGGACAGATTATAGGCTTAGTTTCAGTGTGAGGGGTAGTCTGAGCGTGTTCCCCTCAGACGGACCTCCAGCTTCCAGCAGCTCTGTGCTGCTTCTCATGTGACTGTGTGTGTGTGAGTGTGTGTGCGTGCGTGTGTGTGCGTGCGTGCGTGTGTGTGTGTGTGCGTGTGTGTGTGTGTGTGCGTGTGTGTGCGTGCGTGTGTGTGTGCGTGTGTGTGTGTGTGCGTGTGTGCGTGTGTGTGCGTGCGTGTGTGTGTGCGTGTGTGTGTGCGTGTGTGTGTGTGTGTGTCATTACAAGCTTTTTCCAAACCTGTGGCTCCCCGCTGGCGTTTTGTTGATCTCCAACATCTGCAGGAGAGACAAGCAGTCAGTGGTTCATGTTCCAACCAATCAGGAACAGATTCCATCCTTTTACACTGATCTGCTGGTCTCCACATTTTTCACATCACTTTGTCTGATTGTTGTTTTCTGAAACCTTAAAAGCTGTGATTTACTATTCTGGATAACGTTCTTTTAGACCAAGGTTTCCACATCATTCTGTTGTAGATGTTCCAGGGCTTGTTGATTCAAAAACTGATCTTCATTTGCTCACATTTGAGGTATTTTTGATACGGGAAAAGAAAGCGAGACAGAAAACAGTGACATGTTTAAAAGACCAGGACAAGGGGAAAAGTTACAAATGATGTTTAAATATCACATTTGATCTTTGCTGATGGTGCAACTTTTTATCAATATTTAGTATGAAAGTGACACTGTCAGTCAAAAGAAGAAAATTGTATTTATTAATATTTCAAAGCAGCAAGGTATTTTAGTGGAATTTTGTGCACGTTTAGGTGTTTTTGTCTAATTTTAAAAGAATGTAAAAAATAAAATGGACAGATTTGTCCTAATCAAAATATCAAATGGACCTAAATCTCCCCCCAAAATACTAAATGCTAAAAAGTTGAATTCTTTTTAAATTAGATAACTTTTTTAAAAATATCCAAATTTATTTTAGCTGTTATCTTAGCAAAATGAAAATAAAGAAACAGCTGCAGAGTTCTTGACCTTGTTTCCCGACTGAGATCATGAACATATTTTTTGTTTTTCCAGCTGCCAGCAGAAGAACTGAAGATGTTGAAAATGCGTCTCATTGTAATAACAAGGCAAAAACAGAGACACATTCCAGTCTTTAGCTTGAAGAAGCTGGAGCTCTTTCAGGTTCAGTTTTTATGTTGTTCATGTTGAAGAAACAAGCTAGCAGTTGTCTGGGCTGCAGTGCTGGAACCTGACCCTCTGAGTGAAGTCAGGTAGATTATTTCATCAGTTGGTTCCTCTGTGGATGGACTTACAGGAGCTGAGCGCCACACACAAACACTCACTGATTCTACGTCCATCCGTCCAGCCTGGACGCTCGGATCACTTTACAGAAAGTAATCTAATAAAGCTTCCATTATTGCAGCTGCTGCTCCATCACCCTCCATCTCCCGCCTCCCACAGCTTGCTCCCTGTGTTTCCTCACCTGTTCCAGGTTGTCTGTAGATCTGCAGGGTGGCGGGGGTCGGTCTCCTGCGGCGGATCTGGTGGAGAAAATCCAATAGTCCATGTTTTTAACAAAATCACAAATGGCCATTTGTCATTTAGTGTTCATCTTTGCTTCATATCTCTCTATGTCAGGAATGTCCAAAGTGTCACCAGAGGGCTGTTTGTGGCCCTCTGAATTATTTTTGGCGCAGTGTTATTCATCACTGTCCCATTGAAAGACCCAATGACCAGCCCTTTCTGGTGGAGTTTACCAGATTTCGAATTTTAAATTTCAAAGAGTTCATGATGCTTCACACTCCAGGTTCCTGAATCTTTTGGAGAAACACTAACCGCTAACCCTCCACCATGCTTAGCAGTGACCACCAGGTCCTTTTCCACCTAAGGCTCAAAACACACCGTATGCATCCAACTTTTAACACTCCAAGCATGAAGTGACATGACAGTCAGTCTACAAACCACTGGACTTTCACATGAGAGCATCCACCAGGAATTGTAAATACAAGCCGGTCTGTTAATAAGCTCACTCTTTCATTTTGTTCTGTGCTTCTGAGGTCCTACCATGGGTAAGTACACTGCTGTTTTTGCGAGGAAAAGTTTTTGTTTATATTTTTCCCCCAAAGCAGGTGTGTGTCTCGCTTCCTGTCTCAGGCTCAAAACACACCAGATTTGTTTTGCCATCCGGTTTGATGGAAAATCAGGTCAGTTGAAGTACGCAGCAATTAGAACATGTTAATGTCAATGCGACCTCACAGAATGCCAACAGTTCCCTGCAACATCTCTGACTGTCCAACAAAGACAGACATGAGATCCATCTTGTTGGGAGCTACACAAGGATGTGATGGGAATGTCATGAGTGAGACAGGAAATGAGCCAATACAAAATAAAAAATAGATAATCTCTTAACAAAATGATATTTTTTATTCTAAGGCTTTTTGATCATCCTTCCAGGGGTACCGATAAATATGTTCAATATCTGTATGATAGCAAAGTTATCATGTTTTGTCTGAAATGAGCTTTTTGAACAGAAGCTCAGCACATATAAAGTCTACTGACTGAAGACCTTACAGAGTTAATGAGTATTTTATGCATTTAGAATACCTTGTTACTTAAAGATTTACATATAAAAAGCTGCTTTTTGGTTTGATCAGGTTATTTTACCCTCATATGATCATTTCAGAGGCCTGATGAAGACATCTATGAAGTTGTAAAACAATTTCTCCATCTGATTCCATCCAATGCATTTTTGATTGTTTAGCCACTAAACTGCCTCATCTTGTGACACATTAATGTAAAGACCAGGTTTGGCTGACACACACCACTATAAAAGTTCTTTATTACCGTAAAGGTGAGACAAAATGCATAAGCTTTTAAAACCTTGTGGAAATATTGAGAGAAGAACCCAAATACAGCCACAGCAGGACTCTAAACTCTGACGGATAAATTAGCAGCTTCTGTCGGCGTCCGGCCTCCATCGACCAAACGCCTCGTAAAGACGGCAGCAAAACGGGGGCCACCAGTTAAAACTCATGACGTTTTTGGATTTATGAAAGAGCAGCTTCTGTTCCTTCCTTCTGAAGCCTCCATTCACATGCAAGCTGAAGGAATATTACACAATGTTTGATCTTTTCTGGTCCTCCACCAGATTTCTACACTCAGAGAGTTCCTGTTTACTCAAGAAAGAGGAAAACCATCTGGAGTAAATATGGTATTAATCTCGTTGATTAACCTTTCTGTGTCTCCATGGAAGGAAAACAAGGGAAACTGATGGAGTAGCAGAATAAATCAGCACAGAGCTGATTAAAATTACTCAGGATTTTGGTGGAAATATTTAAATCTTCTAAAAATGGGCGTAAACACACAACGCTTACAAATAAAACTACATTCAGTCGCACAAATCAGTTGTCATAGCACTACTGCTGCTCTGCACCCACACACAAAATTCCAGACAAGACTCACAATGAAGCAGCCTCATTCAGCGCTTCACGTGTAGGAACCCTCTCCTGCCCCCAGCAAACATCAGAAACATGCAAAGAAACTCACATGTTCAGCAGCCTGTGGGTCAATCTGTCCCTGCAGGGGAGGCACAGCAAACTGGATCTTCTTTGGACTGCCGGGCTCCATTATTACTGACTGAGAGGTAGAAAGAATGATGGGCAGAGAGAGAGAAAGTGTGGTCATGTGAAGGAGGGAGGGAGGGTAGAAGGAGCGAAGGAGTGGCCTCTCTCTGCCGATCGGGTCCATTATCACTAATTGACAGACTTGGAGGGATGGGAACGGCAGCCAAGGCATTGCACCATTTTCCAAACCACCATCTGAGACAACATGAAACTGTGCTGCTGTCTTGTGATGTTCAGCAGCAGCTCATGTTTACATCCTACAGCTACTTTTATTGTCCTCAGTCAAAGCTTCGGCCCTTAATCAGTTATGAGTATGGCATTGATTTTTATGATGGGAGAGATCATGTGATGATAACAACAAGCGTCCATCATGGAACATTTGCTTAAATTAGAAACAAAGCTGTTATTATTAGCAGAAACATCGGTTAGAGTCAAAAACTGACCTGAAGGAGGCGCTAGAGAAGTTTTGGCTAATAATATAATTCAGTTCAGTTCAGATGTTCTTGTTAAGCAGGCGCCAGTCACCTTACGACAAAGTAAGAATAGACAAGTCGTGTAATTAAAATCCATTTACACTCAGTTGAAATAAATCCAGTTTCTTTTCAGTGTATTCCAGTGGATTGAAAGTCAAGTGAGTTTAATTCAATCCACAAACAGCCTGAGCTCACCTCACACACACATTCACACACTGAGATGTCCAGGGTGGAACCGTTCAGCTCAGCCTCCTGCTCCACGCTGACGGTGCCTCAGGATATTACAACAAACTCATTCATGTTTTTATGAACTTGTGTTGAAATGCTCATCCATAAGTCTGTATACATACGGGTGATTTTCATTTTTGATCATTTAGGAGTTCGTTGTCAAGGTTACACATTGGGAACCTTGAAGCTGCTCCATCAGGGGATAAAGAGACGCCCATAAAAATAGTTTGTTACCAACATCATTTCAGACTTTACTTTCCATGAGCAAAGATCACTTTTAATTTGTTCAGTTTAGAGTTACATTGATTTTAGACACAGTCTTACGTGTGTATCCTGTATAATAAACATGTTTCCTCCTCATCTCACTGCTGTTGATGTGAGGAGCGGCCATATTGGATCCCAAAGTCCACCTTACAAGTCATAACGGTGAGCAGTGGGAAATCTGACTTAGGTGGGTGTTCCAGTTGATTTTTTGGACTGGGAAGTCAGAATTTCCCAGTTCTGAGTACAACAGGAACACAGCATATGATCAAAGTAAAAAAAAAAAAAAACTTGAATGTTGAGTGACTAATCAGAAAAGTAGATTGTAAAATCTGCTGCTAGCCTCTTTCTTATTGTCTTTACTTTCCCCCCCATAAATAAATGAGCAGGAAATAGACCTAATTTTGACTATTATGATTACAATGCTGGATTATGTGTATGTGTATGTGTTATTGAATTGTCTTTGGGGACAGATATGGTTTATGGAACACTGAAATGTAGTTTGCATATCAACGCCAAAACAAAGGTTATCTGGCACACAACCTTTCCCAAAGTAAATATGTGAATCATCATTTGTACGACAGGTCAGTCAGCATCCGCATCCAGTGTTGTTGACAAAAACTAGGGAACGATTGGTTCCCTAGTTTCTTTCAACGGGTGAAAGAAAAGAAGAATAATGCCTAAAGAGTGAGAAGGAAAGTCCAGAGTGTAGGATGGGGCAACAGGTGGGAGGGAGTCCAGGCCAGAAGCAGTGGAGGTAGAGTTAGATCTACCCCCAATTCTTGGAGGTAGATCCAAGAGTCGGGGTTGGTGTGTAGGATGAGGTATGCAGTGTCGGGGTTTGGGTTTTTTCCTGTGTTTTGAGTTTTCTGTGTGTTTACTTTAGGTTTTCTGTGTTTATTTAGATCTGTGTTCATTTGAGTCTCTGTGTCGTCCTGTCTGCCCCCTGATTAGTTTCCAGGTGTGTCTAGTTCCCTTGGTTACTCCCTGTGTATTTAAGCCCACCTGTTGTCTTTGTCTCTTGTCGGGTCCTTGTCGTAAGTCAGATTGCAGTCGAGTCGTATGTTCAGTCAGCTCAGTGGGAATGTGAACTCCTGAGTGTCTGTTTAGTTAGTCTTCACAGTAGAACTGGTTTAAGTCCTGTGTTGGCTTCAGCTCTTGTGGTCAGTCTTCAGTCAGTGTTAGGTTAGTCTCAGCTCACTGTACTACCTGCTTCTTGGACTGTTCGAGCTGCTCTGGGTTCACTTTCACCATCTCCACCCTCAATTCATGACACGCAGCTGAAAGTAGCAGGACAATAATCACCTGGACTTAGGAATCTTTCTGTCCCATTCCAACAGTTCATCTTTTTCTTCAAGATGTCCTACCTGCCTAAAACCTTTACAGATTTCTGCTAATAAGCTAATATTTGCATCGGGTGTGTTGAAGCAGAGGCGTGACCAAAGGTCGCAGGAACTCATCCCACAAGGACTCCTGATGCTCCCAACTCAGATTGAGGAACTGTTTAATGAGCTTTAGTTGAAAGTCAGCAGCCAAAGTCCAACAAGTTGCCGTTGCTATAGCTACCTTAGATACCAAAGCTTCCTTTCTAGGAAGAATCTATTCCCGGGTACTGTTAACCATTTCCATCAGAGTCACTGAATGTCAACAAAAATATGTGAAGAACTCGAGTGACAGAAGTTTCCTAAGGATAGAGCTGCTCCTAAAATAATCTCCTGCAGCTGTGATCAGTTCTTCCCTGAGGACAGAGAGGACAAATGACAGCAAAGAAAATGGAGATAAGAGAAGAAAAGGAATCAAGATAGATGGACATTTTTATGTTGACGTGATGGTAGCAAATTTTACCAAGTGGGAGAGAGTGGGTGCAATGCTTAACGCTTTATTTCTATATAATGTAATCCATTTTACCATAGAATTAATATTAAGTTCAGGAACAGAAATCAAGTTCAAGCCAGCCATTTTAAATAGTCTATTTTTACATTTTTTGTAGATTTAATTTTATTTCAACGGACCGGTTCCCCTCACTATGTCCACTTCAGTCCAGGACTTTTAGCAGTCCCAGTAAATTCAGTCCCAGAAAAGATTGAGTCCAAGATTTTAGTCCAGTTTAATTTAATTCAGATCCAAATCATTACAGATTCAGAATGCAATTACACACATTTTAACATAGAACACTTTAATTTAACACATCTGATTATCATCTGTTGTTTATACCATCTTGTCCTTGGATGGTTGGGAGTTCTGGTGCCAATCTTTAGCAGTCACTGGGAGAGAGACGGAGTTCACTCTGACTGGGACTCAACCGTTTGTTCTCAGTCCGGTTTGAGTCTCGGGCAGAAAAACATGTCTTGCAGCATTTTATTATAAAATAAACCTAAAAAAAACAACCAGTTCACATCTTTTCTCTGGTCTCTGACTCTCAGCTGCTCTGTGGTTGATTTCTATCTTCTGTCCCCTGCATTAGTTCAGAGATGTATTTGCATGTTTGCTGGCACCCATAGTGGAAACCCTTTCTTTTCAACAGACATCTGGAGAGGCTTAATAGTTACTGTAGGTGGAACAAGCTGCTCTCAGATCACACAAAGAGCCTCTTGTTGATTCCACTCTGCTGGAATCCGTCCATTTCTGCTCAGTAAAGGTGATGTAGAAAAGACTGCTCTGTTGTCTGCAGGAAACTAGCTCCTGCATTTTCCACTCATAATGGTCGACCTCCTCAGCGTGGGGCGTGACGTCACGCTCTGCCAAATATGATTTTGGTGCAACTGTATACTAATAGCATGAGAGGCATAAAAGTAAAGTGATGAGACATTCTCTCAGCCTCTTCTTTTTCTAGTAAGAAAAAAAAAAACTGTTGACCTTGGAAGGAAAAAAGACATTATGAAATCACAATGATTTGTCATTATCATCACATGATTAAAGAATAAAAAGAGTTATGTGGTAGTGATGTAATTCCTCCAGGATGTTACAGGAAAGTGTTTTTGCTGCTGGTGGAGCTCCAGAAAGACCCAGGATTTACCACCACTCATTTAAAAACCTGGAGCTCCTGTGGTTGTAGTGACCGAAACAAATTGAATTCAGAGTCTCTTCTGGCCTGGAAAGCTTCACAAAACGACAGACAGCAGCTCTAAAGATGTAATGAAAGAAAAGTCGCTTGCGGGAACAGAAATAAGGATTTGGTTCCCACGTTAAAAATGTCTTCTTCAGGGAGTCGTTCTGACTGGCAGAGCAGTTGTACATCACACACACAACTTTAGCATTAATCCTGTGAAAATGCTTTTTACTCCAGGTATTAGTTTCTTAGTTAAAACAAATGCACCAGAAAAAGCTATTTGAAGGACAAATTAAACCTAAAGAGAGCTATACACTGAAATACAAAGAGGTTTGTTCCAAAAAACCCTGTTAGTAGAGGTAGCAGCTAAGCTGCTGATTTCACTAAAATAGCAATAAATAAAAATTAACTGCTAATGCAAATCATTCTTCAACAGAACATCTGCTTATTAACATTATCAGGTCATGACTGCAACATTTAGATTGTACTTGAGTAAATTCTGAAGAAGTGGGAACTGTGCCTGGTGTCCATGGTGTCTGTAATTTGAAATGTTCATGAGAAGCAGAGCAGCTCAGGTTTTTGAACATGACAGACGATGGGTGTGTGTGCATAACAGAGGTTGAATATTGAGACATTTTTACACAAGTTAAATATGCAGAGTTCTGAATCAGCTTCAAAAACTTTATTCAGACAATAAAAATCAGATGCGATACAAACACATGTCCCTCTGTGCAGCTCTTAAGGCAGATCCTGATATTTGGCCAACATAACCAGGCTGTAATAAAAACATAAAAGGAATTCAGGAGATTAATTAAATTTTTCTACTTTATAAATATAAAAATCAAAAACCATTTACTTCAACTTTAGTCTGACATTGTGGAAACTGGGCTGAGTAAAATCCACATTAAGAGAATTGCACTGATTATTTACCCAACAAATGTAAAAACTACAAGTGATCAGAATATTTCCTTTGGTTCCAAAATAAACACTGACTGATTAAACATTGCAATAAAAAATCTCTAAGAATTAAGATTGTAATTCCAAGATGATTGGCTCATCTTAAAATTTGATTTCTTTTAATACAATAGAACTTTCTCCTAATATCCATATTTTATTTTCATACACACTCTTCACATGTTCAAACAAGATCTGGCTAAATCACATTAATGAAACCTGATGGGTATTATCACTTAGCTGATGCTCTCATGAGTAAAATATGAAAATGTTGTTTCATCATGATGTGACAAACAATGTTCGCAACAGAAAATTAAGAAGCAGCGTATAAACTGATCTGATCACAGACTTCAATCCGTGATCAGATAGAAATTCAGTATAAATGTTTATACTGAATTTAAAGAAACTTCCTGTAACAGAGATCATGAAGTTCCAGACACCTGTATGATAATCAGAATAATCCATTACATTGTTGTCACTTTAATCCACTTTCAGAGCCTTAACACTGACGGAATCACTTTAAAGTGAAAAACAGCCACATTTACAGACTTTATGTTGGAGAAGGTAATACATGGTTACGGAATACTTTCATTTTGCCTGTGGAAAAATTACAAGCTGTGGTGAATTTGTGTGGAGACATGTATATGACTTTTTAAAAAATGCAGATAATTAAGTGTTTGCCCAAGAAAATATAAAATACAACAGCTTCAAATTTTGGCATGAGTTAAGATTTGAGAGTTTTCATGACTATCCGGTATTTTTTTCTTTGTTTCCACATGATTTCTTTACAGGAGTGTAAAATGTGCATCTGTTGGTAACAAGCAATAACGTTACAGCCGTCAGTCAGGCGCATGCAGACAGATCAAAAATCATAGTCACAGAAAAAAAACACAGGTTTTTATTACTTCATGTTAAGTGCCACAACAGAATATAAGTTATGAAGACGCAGCTTAAACATTCCACACCAAATCAATGCAGCAATGACCATCGATGGCACAAAGGGCCTCCAGGACTGACCTGCTTCTACATAAAACAACCATTTGAAATAGTTTAGAGTCCTGTAATCTACTGAGGATCACCAGAACGGATCACACCCCAAACCCTGCAATGCCTGCTTCATGTAGGACAATGAAGATCTGAGAGCCAATCACTGTTAGGGTAGAGGAGGTATAAAAAACAAAAAGAAGAAAAAAAATAGTTGTTGTACAATTTAAGATGAAACCACAACCACATCATTTCAGATATCTTCTACATTCAGTTTCTGTTATGTTCAGGATCACAATTTTTAAAGGTTGGACTATGACTTTAAAATCATCTAAAACATTTTATAAGATACATATACTGTAGGTATAATTATGAATATGATTTATGAAGAATCCCTCATTATAATCTGTAATGGCGAAATATTTGGAACATTTTCTACATCTGCTGAAGTTTAGACTTTACAGGAGCGATGTGGCTCATCACTCCTGTAAAGTAGTTAATTGGTAGAAGATGGGGCATTCTGAGCATCTCTCATGAAGTGAAAGAGAAGAGTAACTATGTCATTTAGGAAAGCAGAGGGTTTTCTCCCACCAGTATGTTATTTTTATTTTTCTACTGCTGTGATGAAGATGTGGGCAGCAGTGTGCTGCTGAAGCTTCAAGGGTGGAAAGTATTGCTGCTCATTGTGCTGACAAGATTCAAACACTTCAACTCTGGTGCCACCTAGTGGTTGAAGATTTTCTAGCATCACAATGGCACTAAGAATCATTATGGAAGGCATCATATCTAATCACTCCAGTGACTTAAACCAATTAAACTCCAGCTCTGTGTTTTGTCAGTTTGGTGATGTCTCAGTATTATTAATCATCATAACTTTACATCTTGGTTTATCTGCAGTTCAGTGTTTCCATGAGTTTATCTTGGTTCTCATCCCTGTTTGATTCAGTTGATCCCTAAGAAATAAAAGAGATTGTGACATCTGATTAAACCCAAGTAACTGCAGATATTCTTTATTGGAGTTGCAGACCTACATGTCCTGACAGCAGACTGCAGGTTGATGGTAGAAAATGACTTGAAACCATCAGTTGTTTAAATCAGGTACAAAAAAATGTTGCACTGTTAGGTACAAACAGTCATGTGGTTGGAGCAAAGCTACAAACAAAATCACTTCCTACTTTTGCAATCCAGTAAAAATGTCCCAGTTAAAGTTTTACATCTAGACTCTGTAACATCAGAACAGTTAAAGACAGACTTACAGTAAACCAGCACCCACCAGTTTTATCACCTCTTCAACAAATCTGTTCCCAACAGACATTCATTAAGAAAAATTTAAAAAATCAGTTTCATCATGGTCTTAGAGTGAGACTGGACTGGAATCCACTACTAAAATACAGTGAATGCAAAATGCAAATACTACCAAAGCCACATGTTCACATTGAAGCTGTCAGTAACAAGTCAGCTCCCTTCATCTGACCCGACTGCGGCTCGTCCACCTCCTCAGGACTGGACCTGCTTACTAACAATGGAATTTGGGTGAATAATTGTAAACTGAGGTCAGTTTAAAGAAACATCAATCAGTTGTAGGATTCACTTCACCGTAGTAATAAGATGAGGCAGTCAGACAAGTGGCAGAGGTCTGTGGAGAAATGTCCATTTGAATTACTCAATGAGGTTGTTCTGTAAGGAACAGCTTGAGATCAGAGCCGTCACAGATGGAGATGGAGTTCTACCGTCCAAAGAGACGCCACCATCAGAGCCACTAAAACGTCCCAACAGACAGATTTACATTCTGGGGTCCTTTTAAAGCAGCGCATGTCCAAAACCCAGCAATTCACAGTTCATTATGTTCACATAGAGCTGCCTGGAACGACCAGCTGGGGTAGCACTGGAAAGGGACCCGGGTTTCTACCGTTCATCTGGAACGGCATGGTGGCACCCCACCTCCCAAACAGAGTCCCACCTCTCCAGAGTTTGAATGAACCACCGACAGAAAGAAACTGAATGACTCTGAAGTCCTCAGCTGGTTCTGTGGAGAAAACACAGGAGGGACGATCCTAAAAATCCTAGACCAAGATGACCTTTCCTTCCTGTCCACCCCGTCGGGCGTCGGGTGTTCAGATGGACAGGTCGGTGTCTGTGTCTGTGGGCGTGGTCTTCGGGCTCGCGCTCCCTCCCCTCTCCTCCGGGATGGAGGACGAGTCGCCGTTCAGAGCCGGCAGCAAACCTGAAAAAACAGGAAAGGAGCTTCAAGACAAATGTCACACCAACCCGAGTTTTTCAGCCACACATCTAACAGGAAACTCATCTAGAGAGCAAGACAGAGAAGGTCAGAGTATCGTTCTATAACCCAACTCTCCACATCTTCCTCCCTGACCTGTTGCCATGACGCTGTTTGTTCACTAACAAACGTCTGACCAGAAACAGAATGCTCCTGAAAACAACTGGAATTTATTCAGGAGTAACAGGGCCCAAATACTTACTGAATTTACGACTTTTCATACTTGCAAAAAGAAAATTTGCCTTAATATCACAAAACAAAACAATCATACCTTTGCTGAATATTTTAAAGGTGATATTTACCCACATTCTGACTCTTCTTTAATCACCATTTCCCTGCCATTCTTTAGGTAAAATCCATCAGGTTGGACAATGAAGGCAGCAAGTCTGTCCAACAGTCAGAATATTTCACTGGCATGTTTCCATCCATTAAATTTGAAGTACAATGTCCTTCTATGTACTGCATACAAGAAGTCCTTACACTCATCAATATTGCAATAACCAGTGGTGAGAACACTTCCACTAATGTGTTAATGAAGGAGCTAATTTTTCATTTGACTTTTGCTAATTTTAGCACTTAGTTTCCCCTAAATTTATTTTTTGGATAAATTCTAAAGCACTAATTTACTTGGCTGTTTTGTGAACTTTCAGTTGAATAAACTGCAACGTCTATGATGAAGTCACCAGATGTTGAGTTCTTCAAGTAGGGCAGAGTGACGTTGGCGCAGATGTGAAGCACAACTCAGGTATGGAGGCCTCAGTCCTCGATGCAGACCGATGAGTGATGCTGCACGTCTTCCCCCTCGGTCTTTACCCACATTACTGTCTGACAACTGCTATATAAAGGCCTCTATTCTTCAAGGAGTTAGCCGTTTACATTCATGCTCTTACTTTGAAGTGAGTGAAAACTGTTTACGCAGCACTTCCTTTTCCTCTCCTCCAGTTCTCTTGTTTTCACTCTTAATAACTTTATTTCAGATGTACAGCAACAACTAAACACAAACACTAAGATATGAACTTAAATATAATATCTAAAACCATTATTGATCATGTGTTAGGTTTAAGGACAGATAGAATTTGAATGGAAGTCAGAGCTTTAACATTAGCTTCTGCTAAAGTTGGTGTAGCTCTTTATGTCAATGTCAATGTCAAATTTATTTATATAGCACTTTAAAACGGGTATAAAACTGCACCAAAGTGCTGTACAAACACAAATGACAAAACAGAGTAAAAACAATACATCAATTAAATGCCAAAGAGTAAAAATTAGTTTTAAGAGGTGATTGAAAATGATCCAGGCTGTGGGCAGATCTAATCTGGAAAGGTAAGTTATTCCATAAAACAGGAGCAGCAACAGAAAAAGCTCAATCTCCTTTCCTCTTAAGTCGAGTTCGAGGAACTGCAAGTAATAACTGATTATTTGATCGTAAAGTTCTGGACACAGACTGGAAATTTAAAAGGTCCCGAAGATAAGGGGGGGGATAACCCATTTAGAACTTTATAAGTTAACAAAAGGATCTTAAAATCTATTCGATAAAAGACAGGCAGCCAGTGTAAAGATGCCAGAGTTGGCCTTATATGGTTCCTGTGAGAACCAGGATGCCAGAGTTGGCTTCCTGGTTCCTGTGAGAAGCCGTGCTGCTGCGTTCTGGATCATTTGAAGTCACTGAATCTGTGATTTTTCCATCCCTCTATATAAACAGTTGCAGTAATCCAGACGAGTTGTTATGAAGGCATGGATGAGTCCTTCAAAGTCCTTAAAACAGAAGTAAGATTTAACTTTTGCTAAAAGTCGAAGGTGGTAGAAACTCGATTTAACGACAGAACTAACTTGTTTATCTAGTTTTAAAGAGCTGTCAAAAGTGAAACCAAGATTCCTAGCAGAGGTCTGATAAGACCTAGCTAAAGAACCAAGAATCTGATCTGGATTCGTAGTCTGAAGTTTCTGACCAAATAATAGAACTTGAGTTTTGCTTTCATTGAGGTGAAGAACGTTTTTATCCATCCATAATTTAACTTCAGCTAAACAGTTTATCAACAGCTGAAGAGAATCATTTGTACCATTTTGCATTTTAAGGGGCAAATAAATCTGGATGTCATCTGCAAAGCAATGAAAGGAAATATTACATTTTTGGAAAATCTTACCAAGAGGCAGTAAATACAAGATAAACAAAATGGGGCCTAAAATTGACCCTTGGGGAACACCATACTTTAATGGTCTGGCCCCAGAACAGGATTGGTCAAGATGAACAGAGAAGGTTCTGTTTTCTACGTAAGATTTAAACCATTCGAATACTGAGCCCCTCAGGCCAACACAGTGTTTTAATCTATGTAAGAGAATCTGATGATCTACAGTGTCAAATGCAGAGCTCAAATCTAAAAGTAATAAAACTGCAACATTGCCTGAATCAACTGTTAAGAGGAGATCATTATACACTCGGAGCAAGGCAGATTCAGTGCTATGAGCAACATTAAACCCAGACTGAAACTTCTCAGTTATATTATTGTCTTTTAAAAACATTTCAAGCTGAATAAAAACTAATTTCTCAAGAATTTTTTTTTAAGAAGGGGTTTGACCACAGCATGTTTAAGAGTAGATGGGACACAACCTGACTGCAATGAGGTATTTATCACCGTAAGAATATAGCTGCCAAAAATCAGAAAAATGTCTTTTATCAGACGAGTAGGAAGACAGTCCAATGGATAATTTGAAGGCCGCAAATGCTTAATAACCAAAGTCAGTTCATCTATAGAAACTGGCTGAAAATGCTCTAGAATAGCTGCACATTGTGGCATTCCATGGGAATCTAAATCTACCAGCTTATTCAAGCCTCTAAGAGCTTCAATCTTTTCTATAATGAACATAGAAAAAGCCTCACAACGTTCAACAGAGCCTAAAGGACTAGATAAAATCGAGGGATTGACAATCCTATCCAGGACATTAAAAAGGACTTGCGGCCTATGCCTATTTGAAGCTAAAAAAGTAATAAAATATTTCGATTTTGCTAATTTGACAGCATTCTGATAATTAATTAAACTGTCTTTCAAAATTTCAAAGGAAACCTGCAGTTTATCTTTTTTCCACCTCCTCTCAGCGCGCCTACATTCTCGTCTAAGCGCAGGAGTGGTTTCATTAAGCCACGGCTCCAAAACTTTCTTTCTTCTAGTTGATTTAATTTTCAAAGGAGCTACAGTATTTAGAGCATTAGAACAGACATTGTTAAAATTTGTAATAAGAGCTTCAATATCAAGGTTATCAGTAGGGAATGTAGTAGGAGCTAAGATTGCATTCAGTTGAAGAGCAGTATCAGAGTTAATGGTACGACAAAGTAAAGGTTTAGCATTGCTTGTAACCACAGAAGGTGAAATCTTAATAGAGAATAAAACAGGGAAATGATCTGAAATACAAGTCTGAAAGATTTCAATGATATCCAAACGAAGCCCGTGTGATAACACCAAATCCAGAGTATGGCCCTTTGAATGTGTTGGTCCAACCACAGATTGTATAAAATCAAATGAGTCAATCAAGTCCAAAAAGTCCTTCACCAGAGGTTTATCTGGGCAGCATATGTGTATGTTAAAATCACGTATAATTAAAATACGATCGTGCTCTAGGGCAATCCCTGCCAAAAGTTCAGAGAATTCATGAATAAAGTCCTTGTTGAACTTTGGCAGACGATAAATCACCACACACAAAATTGGTACAGTTAATTTTAGTTCAAAAGCTAGGAGTTCAAAACTGAGAAATGATTTTATGTGTGATTGTTGACAGTGAAAACTGGATTTAAAAATTGTAGCCAGACCTCCACCTTTTCTTAAGCGTTTGTGGACCTAATGTTGATGACTGGCATGTTAGCTAGTTGTGCTCAAAACTGGCAATAATGGCTACCAGTCAAAATACTGTGGCTCTTTGTCAGAGGAACATTTCAAGCATTTTTCTTCCACCAAACATTATTGCCCTGTCACATAAAATAAAAACTAAATTCGCTGAAGCTTGTGGCTGAAATGTGACAAAATGTAGACAGGTTTGAGGGGTTTTAGTACTTATGTAGAAAGTCTTTACATAACTCATTTAAACATTCAGTAAAATGTCTGAGTCTTACGTTCAGTCTCGTAGACGGAGCTGTCAGAGGACGTCCGATGTCTGCGTGGAGCTGACCTCTGACCTCCACTCACATACTCCTTTAGTACGCCTGACCTGGAGGGAGATTAGCCTCTTTAACACACCTGATCCACCAGGCAGGTTGGAACACACTTAATGTAGTCTGACTGACATTTGAAACCTGTCTGTACAAAAAGATGTTTTCAGAAACTGTTTGCTATTTAAGTGCAAAAGTCAATCTTTAAAAAACGATTTAAAAACTGCTGGTGGTGTGTTTTTAAAACACATAACATGTCTGAGGTGGTGGCTCTTCTCTCAACAACTGAGGTTCTGTTCATTTGAAATGTTTTCTTTAATACTAACCAACAAAAATGATTCAGTGCAGCCTTTGTTACATTTTTATTACATTTTCTACTAATTAATGCTCAACTCATGTCTGTCAAGCTCTGCTAATAAAGACTTCTCTGTTTTCTGTAGTAAAAACTTCCACACGTTTTTTCTGTCCTTGTTAAAAATTCCTGAGTTACTCCTGGTGAGAGGATTGAAGTTAATCTCAGCAGGAATTTCACAGCTCAGAAAAACGTTGAAAAACACTTTGCTGCAGGAAGCAGTGAGATGCAGCACTACTGCCTCCTGGAGGTAGAAAACAACAAAACAAAACAAACATGTTTCAGACCTGAAAAGGTTTGGCAGTCACAGAGATCTGGATAAAAGCTTGAGATTTTTTTGCAGCTGGTTGAATTTAATGATAAGAAAGAAGCTTCAATACATTTACTGATCAACTCGTTTTTTTTACTCCTCAGTTCTGAAGTCTTCACGGTGTTGCTGTGGGTTTACTGGTGAACTGACCTGTCAAAGCTGTAAGTACCAGGGTGGCTGATGGAGCGCTTCATCTGCAGAGGGACAGAAACATTTATGATGCTAACGTGATCAAACCAGACTGGAAAATGTTGGTTTTATAAATCACACAATTTCACAAAAGAGCAGATGCATAGGACATTTAATATTTGCAAGTTTTAGTTTATAGTTTTTTTTTTCAATTAAAAAATACTTTATGTATTCTAAAGGGGAAATTAATGTTATTGTAATTCATATCATCCAAGTAGCTTCCAAGAATTGTTGTGGATGGTGATGCTGTGGCAGTCAGTCTCGCAACAAATCTTAAGAGGCCTCTGACTGAAGACTGTTGCTGTATGCCATGCTAACAGCTCAATGTCAGGGCAGCAGAGACGATACTCAACAGTAACATTTCCTGGATGACTAAATCAGGTCTTAGAATCTCTGCTGATCCACTTCCATTGCTTTGCCTCTCCTTTTTAAGTCTCTGTCTGGCCAAGCAGAGAGACTATGAATACCTTGTTGATATGATAACACACCATAGCAACTGTCTAAACGTTGTTATGGTGCACAGCGTCCAAAACAAGAAAGAATAACTGTCCAAACATGCAGTGCATGACATAATGCACATGAAAACTAAATTACCCTTTCAGGAGGTCGGAGGTCCGGGGTCAAACTCTGGTTGGCTAGGCTCATACACTCCTCCAAAGTCCTGATGAACGTCTCACAGGTGGCACTGAGCAACGAGGCCTGAACAGAGTTAAACCATCATATTTAACATCCAGGGTGAAGTTCTGCTCAGTTGAATCAGTGTTGGATGACATGTTGGAAAGATCCATCACAATAATTGTCCCAGAAGTTATTGCGGTAAACAATAATATTGTTGCTTTGAGGCCATTTTCAAGTAACATACAGTGATGGCATAATAATGCAATAACACATTTTCAAAGGTGAATCTTTGGTAAAAAGAGAGAAAAAAAAACAATCTGGTAAATAGAAATGATCTAGCTGGTTTAAAATTATCATGCGATTAATTGATTTATTGCGACAAAATGCCAAGTACAATTTCTTTACTTTGAGAACAAAGATTCCAAATGTCTATTTTCCTCTCTACAATTAGCTTGTGGTCATTTCTGACCTAGGTTTAGGCCGGTTTAATCCAAACAGGTTGGTTTTTTCTTACCTCTGAAGTGGGTGGGTCTTCTGCGTCTCCACTGTGCTGTGATTGGATAGTCTGGACTTGCTGGACAAGGAGGTCACAGTACAGACGAAGTTCAGACATTTTGGTTTTCAGACAGTCTGAACCTGATAACAAACACAAACACACAAACACACACACCGATCAGATAAGTTTATTTACAATAACAAAGCTTTATTGATCAAGTTAACTGATTACATCACAACGTACCTCTGTGTTTGTGGCTTTCCAGAGTTCCAGCTTTGGAGGATCCCAACGCCACCAGCCACCTCTGCCTCTCTGCGGCATTAACAGCTCGCACGTAGAAATGCTGCTCACCGGGAATGATCAGCTCCAGGCGAGTCGAGTCTGTGGGATGGACTGAAACACAACATGTGGTTGGATACACTGACCTTCACAGTAAGGAGACCGGGCCAGGCAGACCAACCTTTAATGTCACACACGGACATCTTGATGGATCCCTTGCTGCCTTTCGCGACATCGTCCTCGCTGTCATAGTACGAGATCACGCCGTCTTCCAGGACGAACCAGCGCGGCTGCCAGCCTGCAGACACAAAACACACACTCATCCCACAAGATTTCTGAAAAAACCTGACAGAACTTCAAAACTTTAATGCCATCAAATTCATCAGACTAAACAGAGGCAAATGACAGGACGGTTTCTAGGCCTGTCACTACAACAACTTTAATGGACGATAAATTGGCCACAATTTATTGCAATAAACAATAATGTCATTTTGAGACAATTTTTAAATATCCAAAATAAACAAACAAAACAATAATTTAAGTGGATGATGAAGTCTCTGTAGCCAAAATTTTATTTTAACAGTAAAAGTCAGTTTAGACAAGAAAAACAAGCAAAAGTGGCAACCAGACTTTGTACTGGTTGTCAAATGTTTGCAACGTTTCTCAAAATGTCGACATTTCAATCATTTTTAAGGGCAGCATCTCTTTAACAACTGTTCACCAAATGGAAACTATTGAGCTCATTTTAACTTCTGATGTGATTCATCGATTTATAGCTTATTGCGACAGGCTTAGCCGTTTCATAGATTTCTCTGCAAAACTCTCCGTCTTCTCCAAACAGAAAAACGTTAATTTTGAAGGCAAAAATCATTGCAATAAATAATATTGTTGTTTTGATTAATTAACTAATAAAGATAATGGCAAAATAATGCAAGCTTGTCCCGTCAAAGATTGATAAACTTTAATTTTGTAAACAACACTCCACACAGGAACTGGAAGACATTTTAAATATCCAAAATAAAACACAACAAACGAGTTAATAAAACAGATAGTAAAAACCACATGCAACCGAAAACATAAATAAAGTGGATTATGATTTCTCTGAAAAGAAGGTTGCTCTTCAAAAATATTGAGCTTATTTTAATTTATCATGCAATTAATTAAGTCCTTATTGTGACAAGCTTACCTGCAAGTCGTGTAAATAAAAGAGACATTTTGCCTTTTGCAGCTGCTCTTGTGTTGGATTTCTCCTTCTGCAGCTAATTTTGGATTAACAATCTGGCTTTGGAGCCAGAGTTCATGGAAAATCGGCTGGAGGCTGAAAGTATCTGGTCTACGATCAGCTTCTCTATTTTTTAATGTTACAGAAACTCTACATAAACATCTTTGTTTCAGATACTTCCTGTAATCCTGAACAATCTGACCCAACATAAAACCCTGATTAAACAGAGGAGGATTTACAGTAAAAAATAAACATTACATAAACTTATACAGGAATGGTACAGGGATCGGTAGCAGATTAGTTTTGACGAAAAAAACAATTCCACCTGATCTTGTAAACCCTTTGACCTTCTCTGACAATCTACCATCGCTATAGCTCAATGGAAGAAGAAGTTTATCTGAAACAGACTGTATTATAACTAAACTGTTTATTCTAGATGACAAAAAATCTAAAAAATTCCCAAATGGGTGCATGGATGTTAAATTTCTCCACAGTCATATCGATTGTCTGAATCGGAGATCTGGAATCTGTGTTAGAAAACTAAATTTATTCAGAAAACAGCGACCTGTAAAATGGACTCTGAACCTTTTCACATTTTGGCCTCTTGCAACCACAAGCTCGGCTGGATTTTAACCATTTTACAACACACACCCCGACATACAACAGCATGGTCCAGTCAAAGTTCTGACCAACAGCTGGTTCCAAATTTTGTAGCAAGATCTTCACTAATGGTCATATCAGTAAACATTCAGATTTCCAAAGAAAAGCTGCTAGAGACAAACCATAACAAACTCACAGCTGGAGTAAAAACAAAATGTGACTTTACAAAGTACTGACTCAGCAGTAGCACACCACACTTTTCAGATTTTTATCTCTACTAAAATGTAATGCCACAATGTTCATCCACTTGACAACTATGCTCTTTAGTCTATCATATAAAATCACCTAAATTACATTGAAGTTTGTGGATTTAATATAGCAAAATGTGGAAAAGTTTAAGTGGTATGAATACTTACAAATGGGCAAGAATAAACCTCAGTCAATAGGTTTTACAGACAGATTTACACCTGCTTTGGTGATTGGAACTGATATAATATTGCTCATATTTGTTCAACATTACCATTTGTTTTTCCAGTGCAGCTTCATGCTTTTCAGCTTTAAGCCCTTCTCATATAAAAGCTGTTACTCAAACCTCAAACTATACAAGTGCTAACGTTTACATTGCTAACATTCTATCTGTAGACAAAGTGTGAACTGTTATTCTCAAGGGAAATTAGTTTTCCACTTAAAGGAAAACCTTCCACCCTTGTCTTCTCTGGCAGGATTAGCACCATTACCTTCATAACAAAAGCAGCACATCTTCAGTACTTTGACATCGTTGTCGGTGTTTGTCTCAGAATCACCAAGTTGTCACATGAGTCAGAATTTGAAAGTAACAAATCACAACACTTAAATTTCCAGATGACAGAGTTCAACCTGTTCCCTGGGCCAGAATGCTGCATGTTGAAGATGCTTATCTGCAGCAGCACACAGGCTTTCACACAACCTGACAACTTACTGCTTTAGCTGACTTTTCTTTTTTTTGTAGCAGCAAAAACAAAAAAGCTTCAGAAACCTACAGATAATCATGTCCTGTGAATCAGGGTGGGGAAACACGGTCTCATTATCCACCATTATTATTAATAGACAAGTTATGCTGCTGTCATAAAGGTTAAATACTGAACTCCTCACACCCCGGTCCTGGGCTCAGTCTTTGTTTCCTGCAGCAGAATAGGACTCTGTAGCTATCCGCTGCTGTTTGTGTTTCTATTAAAAACAGATTTGGTCCAATAGGAATCACATCTATGTCAGAACATTATTTACATTTGCAACCCCAGTTACTTTATGGAATAAGATTTGACATAAAAAATAAAGTAATATTTGGTGAATTTAAGTGTTTATAAAATGTTTGCATTCTCTACAATTTATATTAAGCATATTAAGAAATACCTTCAAATAAACACTTAATATATGGTAAAGATGCATAATTATTCATTATTTACATACTCTGAATTGTCACTATTCTATGTAGATAAACAAACAACCATTTATCACAAACCCTGACTTGTTTTCATTTACTTTTTCCCTTCTGATACTGATATTGCAGGTCTGAGTATTGACCTATACTGATACTGACCCAATACAATACCAGCATGAATCATACATACTTCTAATACTGATTCTGTCATGTGGCATGCTAGAAAAAGACCTGATCAAGTGATATTAACCTGAGATTTTAGATGCAGGCCGATATAATAGATAGATACTCATTTTTGACTGATATCGGACCACTTTCCGATATCAGTACTGAATCAGGACACCCCTGTTACTGCTATGTACCTCCAACATGTCCTGTAATTTATATCACAGGTTCATTCAGGAACACACTTAAAGTCAGTTAATGTGATTAAAATAAATATTTGTCATTTTTATGTTACTTGAATTATTAAGTAACTGCACTGACTGAATAGCATAAGAACTGTATAGGTGAACAGAATAAACTGTTATAGGAACAATTAACCCAATGAATATTAAATATTAAAAAATATTTATTAAGCAACTAAATAAAGACAGTTTTTTAAATATTATTTTTAACCGTAGTGACTAAATTGTATTAAAATAGCATGAGTAATTATCACAAACTATTTCTGTTTCATGTAAACTTCAAGTCCTTCCAACTGTTACCTGTTTATTTTTTAATTAATATTTCTCAATTAGACAGTGCGGCTAAAAAAAGACAAAAAGATTTGATAGAAAATGTTTATTTTTAACTTAAATATTTAGAGCCACACAGAAATGTGAAAAATATAGATTTATTATGAAGCAATAGTAAATGAACTGTACAATTATGTAGGTAAATAGAAACTGTTTACCTGTAATGTTTACGTACATCATTTTAACATTTACGCTCATAGGCATTGCTAAATTATTATAAATATCTCCATATTTATTTATTCGAGGTTATATTATTTATATTATGTGTTTCTCCATCGCTTAAACAGTTTTTAATTAATGTTAGTTGCTTAAGAGTTTGAAAGGAACATTTGTAACGCAATTAACATTAGCAAAATAATAAAATAAAATTGGTCTGAAATCAAATTATATTAAAAAACATATTAGCCAGAGTCCTTACCTGTCATGTAATTAGTCCACTTGTATAAAATGCCCTCCATGACTTCTCCAAACATCGGGTTAAAGAAGGTGGATGTTAGCTGGGAGCTAAAGCTGCTAGCTGGCTAATGGTCAGTAACTCGTTAGCAAACAGCGGCCATTCTCAGCTGCTGCTCTCCTCAGCATGAAAGAGAGGCTTCCTGAAATCTGCCGATTGTTCGCCGGAGAAAATTAAGCCGAGGAGGTCAGTCTGTACGGAGCTGCTCATCGTCTCTCAGCGGGCAGTCAGCTGATGGAGAAAAGTGTCAACAAAACAGCAGATTATGTACGGGAAGCTGCGAGGGACAATTGTTCTTTCTAACCCTAAGGAATGGGTTAAAACATACAAGATACATGCAATTCATTAACAAAGCACAAGCAAAGAACACTCTCAGTGTTTCCTTTTTATAAATTAAATGTACTTTGAGCTTAAATCATTTTTGCAACTCTTTGAGGTGACTTAGACTTATTTTATTGTCATTGCACAGACACGTAAGTGAAATTGGCAATAAAATGTCATCGCTTGGCCACCAGACCACACACAAAAGCACAAGTGTGCCTATAAATACATAATATACAAATAATAATATATTGCTAAAGCTAAATATACATAATTTAGCATTTACAAGCAGTCTCAGACAGTCTTCTTGATGGGATTGTTGAGCAATCTGATGGCCAATGGGAGACAACTGCTTCTGAGTCTGGCTGTTCTGCAGCAGATGCTACGGAATCTGATGCCAGATGCCAACCGGATGAACAGACCATGGAGAGGATGGGTGGAATCAGTTATACTGATAATTGGACAGTTATAATTTTTGCACAACAGTATATTTTCATCCATCCATCAATTTTCTATACACCCTTGTCCCTAGTGGGGTCAGGAGGGGTTGCTGGAGCCTATCTTCAGCGAGACATTTTGGGTGAGAGGGGGGTACAGCCTGGACAGGTCGCTAGTCTGTATATTGAATATAGCTCTGTATATTCAATATACAGAGCTATGTTGACAATTGAAACAGTTTCTATAGAAAATATCGTTTAAAAAGATACAACCCAGAGACTCTGTTAAGAAGCAAATAGAAAAGTCATTCTTTATATAGAAACAGATCAAACTTGAAGGTGAAAAAAGCCCTTAACAGCTTTAACTAGCTATTTTTAACAAAACTACATTTTTATCCTTTAGAACTATTTCAAGGCTTTAGAAAAATGAGCACTGCTTCTAATAACGTGTGGAAGGAGATGTTTCTGGAGGAAACACTGTGCGATGCTGTGATCAGGGTCAGAGATGCAGAGTTTAAAGTTCACAGGTTCGTTCTCTGCAATCCCAGTGCCTTCTTCAGGTAAATCATTAAACCTTAGTTATTTTCTCTTTAATTCCTGATCTCAACATGACGTATTGTAAAATGGTTATGAGGTTTGACAGGCACTAAATTGTGCTTTTGACATCTTTTGGGGAGAAAAAGTTGTCAGGTTAAAAATATAATTCTACCACAGGACTTGCATTTCATAAAAGCTCCTTAAATTGTTCTATTGAATCTGGATTAAGATTGATTGATACAGCTCTGCTACTCTGGAGTTATTAAAAGAAGTTGTTTATGATCCATCCTATGTGATCAAATTCAAATATGCATTAGCAGTCCCAAAGGGAAATTCAGTAATCATATCACATAAACATTTTCTGTTCAAATCATTAACCTGCCTATTAAGTCATTGACTTAGCACTAATCTTTCATTTTCTTTATTTTTACATCTGTAACATGTGACTTATTCTGCTTCAATCTATCTGGTTAGAACAGGGGTGGACAAACTTGGTCCTGGAGGGTCAGTGTCCTGCAGCTCTTAAATGTCTCCCTGGTCCAACACACTTGAATCCAACAGCTGAATCACCTCCTAAGTGCAGTCAGGTTCTCCAGAATCCTGCTAACAACCTCATTATTTGACTCAGGTGTGTTGAAGTAGAGAGACATCTAAAAGTTGCAGGAGTCCGGCCCTCCAGGCCTGGAGTTGCCCACCCCTGGGTTAGAATGTCAACAAATGCGTGTTTCCATGGTGACAGGTGCAGCGACGCTCTCCAGTAGCTTAGCTCGCACCAGGCATCAGGTTTTGATATAAATGAAGGAAATCTGTAACATTCAGAAAGATAAAAGGGCAAAGTTACTCAAAGTTACCCTAAGTTTCTATAGTCATTAAAGTTCATTTGAAGGTGAAGAAACTGTACAGTAACTTGCTTAAGTATTCATTCCCATTCAATAACAGCATGTCATGTTACAGACCAACACAAAGTTGTGTAATTGTGAAATTGAACATGGCTTTCAAGCTTTTCAAATGACTAAGTTGAAAAGAGTAAAGGGGGCTTCTATTAAGCCCCCTTTACTCTTGTACTCTTAAATAAAATTCATTTCAACCAATTATAGAAGTAATCTAATTAGCAAAGAGAGTTCACCTGTGTGTATTTAATCTCAGTAGAAATGTCCTGTTCCATGAAGGAATGGGAAAAGAGGTTCAAACAATTTGTAAGTGCTGTACTTCACTGCTTTAGTGGCTTGATGTATGTTTCTTAAACCCCCGATCTCTCACAGAGACCTCTTCCTCAGTGACCAATCATCTGGGCAGCAAGTCTACAGCTTCCCTGACCTGTCACGAAATATCATGGAGCTCATTCTTGAGTATGCCTACACTTCCTCTGTTGTGGTGACGGAGGACAATGTGGTAGAGCTGTTGGCTGCAGCAGACCGCTTTGCTGTCCCTGGGATCCTTCAGGCCTGCTGCGACTTCCTCCAGCAAACACTCTGCCCTAAGAACTGCATCAAGACCTGGAAGCTAGCAGATCACTACAAGATTCTTGACCTGAAGGAAGTGGCCTACCTCTACATCCTGCAACACTTTGAGGAGGTGGTGGAGGTCTGTGCTGACTTTCAGCAGCTCCCTGTTGAGGAGCTGGTGGAACTCATCAGGAAGGATGAGTTGAATGTGAGAAAGGAGACTTTTGTGTTTGAGGCCATCCTCCGTTGGGTCAAGTTTGCTCCTGAGGATCGTAGGGGATACATGGGGACACTTTTCGCTCATGTAAGTAAATGATGGGGCACGGATCTCCCCAAACTCTAGATATACTATTGCTAGTGTCTACATAAAAATCTCCTGTCTTTATTCAGGTTCGCCTGCTCCTAATACCCATTAATTACTTAGTCGAAACTATGTGCAAAGATAATCTGGTTAGAAACAATTTACAATGTGTAAACATGGTAATCAGTGCGATGAAGATCCTCCATGGGTCCAGCGTGGAGATGCCCCTCACCTCCACCCGTCTACCTTCTCATGTGCTGCTGGCCATTGGGGGCTTTGAAGACAATTACCCTTCTGACAAAATGGAGATGTACAATGTTCGAAAAGACTGCTGGAAGACAGTGTACAAAAATCCAGCACCATTCCCAGAGTTCAGTGGCTGTGTTTACCTCAAAGGAAACATCTATTGTGTCGGAGGGTGCCATGCTGATCACTACTTGAGCAGCGTCATAAGGTTCAATCTCGCCACCCAAACTTGGAAAGAAGTGGGGACGATGCACAAAGCTCGATGCTATGTCAGTGTAGCGGTGCTCAATGACCAGATCTATGCAATGGGAGGCTGCAACAAGTATGATACCTTCAAAACTGCAGAACGGTTTAACCCTGACACCAATCAATGGACCCTGATCGCACCGATGTATGAACACAGAGCCGATGCTGGGTCTGCAACACTTCATGGGAAGGTAAGTGGATTAAGTGTTCTTAGACCAGATTTGACCTTCTGTGGTTCTGAAAGGTCTTTTTAGCCAAAGTGTTGTTGAATCATGAGCATTGGCCTTAACTGAGTGAGATGTTGTTATGGTTTATACAGTCGTCTTCTGGACAAGTCTTCAATGCACTCTTGGGATAATTGTTTGGCTGGATAGTCCAGTGAAGGTTCACCACTCCTTCATGTTGTCTCCATTTGTAAATAGTGGCTCTCACTGTGGTTCACTGGGATCCCAAAGCCTTAGAAATGGATTTCTAACTTTTTCCAGACCTAAAGTAAGGTCTGGAAAAAGACCTTCAGGACATGATCAAACAACCATGTCCTGTATGTCATGGTTGTTTGACATACAGGACAAACAACTATGCACACATTCACACCTATGAACAATTCAGGGGGAAAAAGCACCGTTACCTTGACTGGTATGTGTGGGAGAAAGCCAGAGTATCTGTAGAGTCACAGAAATATTTCAGTGACTTTGTTTCTCATCTGTTTATCAGGGCCTGGTGTATTACTTTTTGAAAACTGGTAGCCTTCCTCAGGTTCTGTTCAAGTGATTTCTTAATTCTCAGAATCTGGCAGTGCATGATCTGTGCATGATCAAATTACTTTTTGTATTTACTCAGATTATTTTTGTTTAATGTTGGATATCAGAAGAAATCTAAGATGGGCAAACCTCGGAGGTTGGAACTCTGTTCATTTCCAGATATTGGTGTGTTCCTTCTGTTTGAAGAAGTTGTAATTTTGAGAACTAAGCAGAAAAAAATCAATTGGAATACATGGCGAATTTGGAATTCCGACTTGGAAAGTCTCAATCCTACCTTCTAATTCAGAATGGCTACAACAGATTAAAAAAAACATGACAGCTTGCCAGTCCATCGCAAGGCAATGCAGAGACATACAGGACAAACGACCATGCACACATTCACACCTATGAACAATTCAGGGGGAAAAAAGCACCGTTACCTTGAATGGTATGTGTGGGAGAAAGCCAGAGTATCTGTAGAGAACTTATCCATGCACAGGTAGAACATGCAAACTGCTTGCAGAAAGACCCCAGGACCTTCTTGTTGCAAAGCAACATTGTACAAATTGTGCAGCCCCCTTCTAAAAATCTATATACCATTAAATCAGTCCTGTTGTCTGATAAATGTTTTCTATGAGATGAGTATTTTGTTTTGATTGTTTTTTGGTGTCTTTTTTATGAGTGATGGCAGAACAGACCAAGCATTTCATATGTGAGCTCACCATTTGCACCAGTAAAAACTTAAACTTTTTGAAGGGAAGGCTTTTAACAAGGTTTAAAAATTTATTTTTGGGAATCTTTGATCACTTCAAGAAGTGCAATTGTGAGGTTAGTAGGCTAGGCAACTGCCAAACCCAGACTGGTCCATCAAAGTGCCAGAAGAGCATGAGTAATGGCCCCAGAGATCAAGTCTTCACTCAGAATGCTCCAAAATGGCATCCCAGGAGTCTCGCTCATTCTGTCTTTCAGGCTCCATTGATCTGTGGCCAGCACTTCTCAGCTATGTTGCTACCATTCCCAGTTGGTTCTACTTTCAATCCCATCCTGGGGTCTTTCTGCATGGAGTTTGCATGTTCCTTTGTGCATGCATGGTTTCTTCATAGGTACTCTGGATTTCTCCCACAATCCAAAAGCCTGACAATTAGGTAAATTGGTCTCTCTAATTGTTCATAGCTGTGTGTGCATGGTTGTTTGTCCTGTGTCTCTGTGTTAGTCTGGTCCAGGTTGTACCCTGCTGCTGCTTGCCCATTGATGTAGGCATCAGCCCTCCCCCCACAACCCTGCAAGGAAGAGCAGGTTTAATAGTTGAATGGATTCTTAGCAGTGAAGAAATTTCTTGTCTGGGTTTAATGCACAGAGAAAATTCTCATTATGCCAAGCTGAGAGTCACTGAGCTCCTAAAGGCAACTCATTCTTTCACAAGTGTTTGTAGAACCAATTTTAATGCCTACATGATGGATATATCCACCAGAGGACAAGGAAGAGATAGTAACATGAATTCAGTGAGTTAGAGGGATGAATCTATAGTTTTAGCAATTTAGTATATGTTTGTCCTGGCCTTGGGAATGCTGAAGCTTCGAGCTGTTAAAAACAAAGTCCAGCAAAAGAATAATTATTTTTGCTTCTGACATGACTGTGCATGATCAAATTACAGAAATTCCTAATGTAGGTATTGTCAAGAATGATTCCCGTTCTCCCTTACCAATTCTCAGGTGTACATATGCGGTGGATTCTTAATGGATGATGCATTATCTTCTTGCGAGTGCTACAACCCTAACACCAATCAGTGGACGCTTATCACACACATGGAAACCGCTCGAACGGCAGCAGGTGTCATTGCCTACAAAGACCAGCTCTATGTGGTAAAGAGAGCTAAAGAAACGTGTTCATGACTTGAGCTCGGCTGTAATCCTAGTCTTAATTCCAGTCTTTCTTCCAGCTTGGTGGCTACGACGGTAGAAGGCACGTATCAGAGGTTGCTGCTTATGACCCCTTGACCAAATGTTGGTGCATGCTGAACCCCATGATTCATTCCCGCAGCAACTTTGGGACTGTGGTGTTAGAGGACCAGCTTTATGTAGTGGGAGGTTTCACAGACGATAATGACCAGTTGTGCTCTAAAGTGGAGCGCTATGACGGAAATACCAAGACATGGCAAATTGTCCGGGACCTGGATTCTCCTCGTGGTGCCGTCAACTGCTGTGTGGTGGAGCGAATCCCCCATGCTGCTGCCTTTGTATCCTAAACACCAACTTAGACATGTCAATAAATGCATTGATATATCTTAGACAGATTTTTGTTTACCAGGAAAATGAGAAGATTGCTATAACAACTTCTCCAGAATGACTTGCATACTGGTTGGTTATGTTTTTACTTCACATGCAATCTTGTCTGTTCTGGCACAGATATGGTTCACCTGGAAGCAGAAACTGACTCATTTTGATAGCTTTCTGATTTCCTCTTAATCTTGATCATTTGGACTTGACAGAGCAACTTTTTTTCTAAACAAAAATCTGAGAAATGTGTCTATTTGTGTTCATGCTGCTTTCCTCCGACATCTGTAAATTAGATTCCACTGCAATTAACTGGTTCCATGTCTCACCTGTCAAAACTGACCTGTGTCTAATGTAATCTCAGCATAAATCCAGTTTTTCTGAGGGCCTCAGACATTTGCTGGAGAACATTGGTGAACAAATGGCATCTTGAAAATCAAAGAACATGAGATGATTACGCAATAGATAAGATTAGAGAGTTAGATCATAAAACTATCTTAGGTGGTAGAATCTCTTTACAGACCAACTATTAGTCATCAAAAATGAATCCTTATGGAATAAGGAAAGTCACTTTAGATGGAAATTCAACTGGTTCCTTTTCTGGAATTCTGCACATCACCCGAAACACACCAAAAAGTCAAGAGGCATGAATACTTTTGTAAATCACATAATTATGAAACAGTAACACGACACAGACTATCAATAATTACAAATGAGAAACTTAAAGACAGCAAGAAACTTTTCAGAAGTCTTATTCTCTCTTTATTGCATTAGAACATACATTTTTCATATATATATATATATATATATATATTATAAATGTGAATTTGTACACTACAATCTTTTATTGTAACATGTTAGAAAATACTCATAATGCTCCAAAAACATAGCACTAAAAACAGTTACCAAACAATGATTATTACATTTCTTCCATTTTTGTTTTGGCCACTGAGAACAGGGAAAAGAAAATGACAGAGCTGCAACTGTGGATCGAGAGGAGAGAAGAGGATCACAGGATGTGATACGTCACATTGATGTGGGAGCTTTTTACAACCCAAACAAGTGAGAGAGGATAAGTAGAGAGAGGGAAGAGATGAGGAAGGGGGGAATGGATGGATATGGGTGCATGGGGTCATGATTTTTTCCCCATCTAGTTTTAATATGTCTAAATAGAAGAAATGAATAAAAACATTTATTGCACAAGACAAATAGGTAATTTTTTTTTTTTTGCTAAAGCTGCATTTTTCTGTTAGTTCATTCAATTTTGACAATAGCTTGTAGTAGTGAATAGCCCTTCCACTACTGACACAAATGAAGATATTAATCAGGTCTGAATATATTAAAGCAGAAAGAAAAGCAGCAATTGTGATGGTAGAACAGTGGCTTAAGGTCTTGCAGCCTTTTAATTTGTGCACCAGGGTTCCAGCACATTTTCCCCTGGACCTGGAGCCCTGCACCAGGGGGTCCAAAGTTTAGTCAACTTTGAGGCTATTTTTGTTTTACATGTATAGAGAAACATTCACCAGACAACACTTAAAGATATGTTTTTATTGCAGAAATGGGGACAGTCCTGCAATTCCACTTTGTTATTTTTTGTTGTTGGATTTTAAACAACGAACTTTATAGAATAATGTGTGGAAGATGTTTTTTCTAGTGTTTGTTACATCTCAGACAACTTGAACCTCAGAAACCACTGGAAATATGTTGAAGTAGAATTTGTTCATCTTTAAATACAATATTTTGAAACTAAGTCTAGATCTGCACCGATTGCAATTTTCTGGCTGATCCCGATCTTTAAAATGCCAGACATGCTACTTCCGATTTTAACCGATGTCAGATGCCAAGTTGGCAACTGTTGCTGCCAATACTGCTAACTGTGCAAGATGTGACCTCACAGCAGAGCAGAAGGGTACTGCGGCTGATTTTCAGACCTTTGAAGATAAGATTAGCGAATTAGATTGGTTTCTCATGGAAGTATTAACCAATCACCAATTTTCCAATATTAAGAAAATTTGGGGCTTTCTATTGATACCGATTTATTGTACACCCCAAAAACACACACATACCCTGACACTTAGGGTCACGTAAGAGACCAATTAATCTAAAAATGAAGTTATTGGACTGTGGGAGGAAGCCGGAGTACCCAGAAAAAATCCACACATGCATGACAGAACATGCAGCTTCCATGCATAAAGTCCCATGGCCAGGATTTGAATTCAGGACCTTCTTGCTGGAAGGTAACAGCACTTTGAGTCCAACTTTGTTCAATATTTCTGCCTAAGCCTTCAAATTCAAACAAGAATATTAAAATTAAAACAAGAATATATGTAAAGAATAATAATTATTCTTGCAGTGGAAACAGTTGTTGCTTATCAGATTTAAATAAATGTGAATATATAACATTATTTAATTATGAGCAAATAAAGATAAACAGAATATGGAAATACAAATGTCTTTCCATACTTATCTGGGGATTTGAGAAGAAAATGTCATACTCCATTTCATCCCTGTGCAGGAACCCTGGTGTTCTACTTTATCTGCTCAAAAATGTCCATTTGGAGCAGTTTGAGATGTTTTTACTTCGTTTAGGAATAAGTGGAGAAAAACAGGCTGCACCACATAACTAAAGTCATTATTTGGTTTCTTGGAACCACATTCCTTCAAGTTGTGTTATAGGATGGGAGGGAGGTGTTTTCAGGTCAATAAGTTCATGTTTTCAAAGTTATGAGACACGTCAAAAAGTGCACCTCGTTTGTCAATAATCTCTTAATGAAGATGAACGTTTCTGAAACCAAAAATGACTAGCAAAGTGGAAACAAAGAGGAGGGAAAGGTAGGAACAGCAACTAATGGCCAAAAGCATATATAAACAGCTCCCACTCATACACACTGGACCCTGTCTCCATAAGACTTTAAACATGTATGAACACTTTCTCACACACACAGACACAAAAGGCTGACGGGTTCTGATCCGGGAACACAGCGGATGCAGAGATTCCTCACAGAACCAAGAGACACAGTTGGCCAGAACCACAAAGACACAGCAGTCTGTTACTGATCGAACAACTGGTGCTACAGTGGCACAATATGACATCAAGAGAAACTACAGCAGTTTTTGGAAAATTTTGTATTTTAATGTTGGTCAGAGAGCTGTTTGTTCCCCAGACCAGGTAAATAAAGATATGATTTTGTTCTTTAAAATAAACACCTCACTTTACAAAAAAATGTCCTTTGCATTCAGGTGATTAATCAAACCAGAATAAAAAAAATCTCTTATTGTTAAAGAATTTAAACAATTTCATCCTTTTTAAAATTACACAGTTAAGTTTATGAAAAAACAGTAATAAGAAGGGACATTATCCATTTAAAGCCATCTTTTATACAGCCAAGACTTTTTACTGAATTCTGGAAAATAAAAGGAAAATCTGATTCTTGCATTCAATTTTCAAAGTTTTCCTTCTTATGTTTATGAATTGAGAAGGAGTATTGTCTTTTAAAGGGACAACAATAAACAGTCCAGTACATGGTACCTGCCAGCTTATTTACAGGCAATCTGCAAGTTAACATACTTATGTTACTGTCAGAACAATCCTTCAAAGGTACCTATGGTACCAGCCTATTACATCCAATGGTACTTACAGGATTCCTATTGGCGATTCTTACAGAATACCTCCTGGGTAAACACTGGTGGGGTTGCATACAGTGGGGGACTGGAATAAAGTAAGTGGTGACTTCTTATTTGGTTCTCATGAGCCCCTTCTCCACAACTGCAAGCCGTGTATTGCACACATCAGTGTTTTGATTGGCAGCACACTGCATTCATTGATTGGTCCTGTAAATTCCTTCTCAAACAACTTCTCAACCAATCCACGACAAGATTGTAGTAGTTGGCGAAGAGGACAAGTTGCAAATTGGTAATTCCATGGTGAAACCTTGAGGTTCAAACCTTTCTATCAATTGTGGCAACAAATATATCCCAAGAGATGTTGGAGAAACCAGTCGCCCAATGGTACACACACAAAACATCATCGCAACATCAACCACTGCTCCTGCATTGTCACGGCCCGCCCATATTCACGCCCACATAATGAAGAATATACTGTCAAAGGAGACACATGGGACACACACCCTTTCTGCTTCATTACCTGGCTAGAGTGTACCAATAGTACAGCTATCGTTCAGTTGAAGTGCATCAGACTGTTTTGAGACAACATGATTGTCTGTGCTAAAAATTTACCTGCAGCCTACTTAAAAAATGCTTACAGGCTACATTTGGTCACAACCTGCTGTATTTACAGGGTATACCAGGAGGTGGATCATGAGGTGTACCCTGTAAGTACACTGGGGTTATGAGTATTCACTTACCACCCAGTTGCATCCTGTTCTTGGATACTACCAGGGTTGTATGCTATAGAAATAGATGAGCATGATTCATTCAATTCATTAGATTTTACTTTATGAATTAAACATTTGTCAATATTTACTCCAACAACCATAAACATCAAGACTTGTTTGAACTTACCCCCAGTTACAATCAAGAAACCCAGACTAACTGGATGTTTCCATTATAATAAACACTGTCATGGCTAACACTTTGTAACATGTTTTAATGGAAAATAAAACCTGAAGCACCCTGTAGTTATGTGTCCTCCAAGTACCCCTATAGGAATCCTGTATGTACCAGAATGTATTATGTATATCTACCAGTAGGTGGAAAAAAAGCTTTGCAGTTATATCTCCAAAATCTAATTTCTTCTCTTTAATTAAAGTCTTGTTAGAGTAAGGTAAATACTTTTGTTCACGCTCCGCTCTTCTGGTCAAATTTCAGGGCCCAACAAACCTAAACTAAAGCCTGTTTTAAAAGCTTAAAATTAAAAAAAAAAAAAAAAAAAAAAAAAACACACACACACACACACACACTCGGGACAGAACATCTTTCAGATTTTACCAAGGAGCATGAACTAAAAAAAAAAGAAACAAACAAACAAAAAAAAAAACATTGACATTTAAGACAACTCATGCATACTTCCCTCCCCCCTCCACCTCTCTCTGAATGAGCAGGACTGTGGTGTTATGATCTTAGCTTCCTAAGGCAGTATCACAGAACACTTCATAGAGACACAACAGCAGTACAGAATTACAAACCGGCCCAGAACCTTATATCCACTTGGGTGGGACTTTTCAAGAGCTTTCTAAAGTCTCTGCTTTTAATGTATATTTTTCTAATAAAAGTATTTTAAAGCTTAACCCCAACACAAAAGAATTTACTGCTCCTAAAAAAAAAATTTGCTGACTGATCAAATTTGAACAAGAAATTTTGGTCCTTACATTTTGCCACTGAATATTGACATATCAAACTGATGTATTAAAACAAGGACAGCTAAAGAAAATCTGCTTCATTATCTTGGCACAACCTGATTGTTCTTACTTGGGACCCACCAATGCTCCCCTCCATCACGTTTCTGTTTCAAAGGAATCAGAAATCTCTCATATTTGCTTGCTCAAAATCTACAACACTAGAAATGGATTATCCCACATTGCAGCTTGCGACAGGAGCAAGAAAAAGTGCTTGGTGATGATAACTACCATTAGTTTTAGCTATCAACATGAGGCGCTAAATCTTAAACGTACATGCGATATATAAAAGAAAAAGCGACACAGTGTTTTGCTACTAATTGTCAATATTACAACTAGATAAAAAGGTCTAAGAGAGTCACATTTCACAGGTCAGTAAAGAGTTCTAAGTAAAAAAAAATGATGAGGGAGAGGGAAGTAGGGCCTTAACTGGTGGTGTTTGGGTTCATTAAAAAAAAAAAAAAAAAGACGACCCCCACACCAACTTTCTTACTAATCATCAGTAGAGCAGATGTTTAAATTAGCTAATCAAGCACCACTGTGTCCAGATGATCACTTTGAACAGTTTTTCTGTTGAAAAACGTTTGCCACATTGTGCATTGCACTGAATTAACAACTACATTTCCAGATTTCATTTAGTTAACAGAATTGTTCTACTGCGGCAGCGCAGCAATGGATGGCAAGTAAAAGAATGCCCTGTTTGCCCTCCAGCATTGTGCACATGTATGACATTTCCTGAATAAGACACAACATGTTTATAGTCACTCCTTTCAATACTCACATCTTTATCATCATAGTTATTATTATACCCACATTGTCTTCTGATGTAGATGCCAGTTTAGTTTTCTGAAACAGAACTCATTATGTGTGGACGACACCTCCTAACTTGACGGCTGGGTTTCTTCTGCAGCAGACAAACTAAATAACCGTCCAGGAAACTCTGCAGACTCATTATAACTTCCTCATCTGAGCTGCTGCAGTAATTAACAGAGATGCAGCTGATTGTTGTACTCATACATCAATAATAAAAAAAAGGAAGAGAGGCCATAAAAGCACCATCATCAGTGGTTAAATCTAAAGAAAATACAAATAATTTCAGTCAAAATCTATGTATTTAGCTAAAGGCAGCATATCAAAGGTTAGGGTTAGATATAAGACATAAGGTTCTGGGTCAGAACTGGGCCGTTAAGTGGCCAACATGATGTGGGGTGGTTATGGCACTGGGGAAGCCGACTGGGTTGGAAACAGCTCTCTGCCGCCCAGTTTTCTCTTCATGAAATAAGCTCAACTTGACACTACGACTATCAGACATTTACTAAGAAGTTACAATGACTTGACGTGTCCGGCTGTGCCACAACCAGCCCAGATGGTCTCTGCTTAGTGATATTGTTGTGCATCTGGTCTATATTACAATAGCGTTAACACAATGGTCCAGCAGACAGATCAGATATCATACAGATGGTCCAATACAATTATAGTACAACATCTATACATCAACTATACATTGTGCAGTTTTTTTTCTTCTTTATGTTGAGGGTTAGACTTGGTCACCATTACGTCACTGCTGTAAGACTGGGGGAGAAGGGGTTAAAGTAAAAGGAAGACAGAGCCATAGCTAGAGCGACTAATCACTGTGGTCAGAGTCAGAGATCACCAGAGAGGTTCAGGAGAGTGTTCTAAATGGGCTTGTGACTAACTTTTAAATTTTCATTAACATAGAAAGTTACGACTGTAAATTTTGAGATTAATCACAGAAATTTCCTTGTTTTTTCTAGCAAATATCTGCAAGCAATCTCAGGAAAAAAGAGGATTAAATTTTCACCAAAAAACTCAGAAATACTATCTGCAATGGGTCTAATATGATGTCTACATTAGTTTTCCTGTGTTTTTGGTTTGTTTGTTTTTCTGCTCTGCCTTCTCAAACTCCCAGTCAGTCATGGCAGAAGACCCCTGGTTCTGAGCCAGGTACTAATTCTACTGGAGATTTCTTCCTGGTAAAGGGTAGTTTTACCGTCAGTCTGTCCAGGCAAAGTGAAGACCGCAAGTCAATGACTCGAAACAATCTGCTGGGTTTCCTTAGATAGAAACATTTTAAGCTAATTTCAACAATAAACTGAGTTTAATTATCTATTTGATAACTGAGCTATATTGGAATGTACGTGTGATTGAAATGAAATTACTTTTCTACTCAAGTACAATTTACATGACATTGTGGTGAATTGGTGCTACGTAAATAAAGTTAATTTATTTCAATGATTTTTGTTATCAAATGCTACATTAAATATCAGATTTTGTGGTGTTTACTGCATTGTGCATTATCAGAATGATAACATATAACTAATTAAAAAAGTATAATTTTGTAGCGCCTGACAAACCTTGCAAAGGTATGTCAGGCGCTACAAAATACATAAAGAGTGAATACTTTTGCAAGGCAACGTGTATTATTTGTGCTTGTGTGATTAGCCTCCACATAAGTGCAACACTGAGAGTGAGGTTCAATACTGCGTCACTAGCTGTGTTTCTATTGACCATATAATTGCGCAAGTTGACATTCTGAAAATAAATTCCCTTCATGGAAACACACCAATTAAAAAAAAAACTCCATCCTCTCTATAAAAGGTTTTGGCACTAGGATGAGGTGTTTTTTTTTTTTTTTTGACTATATCAAAATTGATTTATTCCAGGAAACTGCAATGGAAATACTTTTTTGAATCAAATGATCAACAACTGGATGTTACAACTGACAAAAAAACAACAACAAAGAAGTATGTTACATGCCTGCCAGGCTGTTTGTGCTTTTCCTTTCCCCTCCCCCTTCCTTTGTTTATCTCTTCACAGGTTGTAGGGAAGCTGGTGTCGATCTCCCCTGATTGATCCTCTCCACCCATGGGCCAATCAGCATCTAGGGAGCCTGGATATATAAGCAGCCCACCTGGGGAACTGAGCCTGCTCCATCTGGCTGGCTAGCTCACACATGTCTTGTTGCTGGTGCTTTGTGTAAAGGTTTGTGGTGGGAGTTAGAGGACCAGGTAAGTTTGGAGTATCCTGTACATTTCCATCACGTAGGTATTTTTCTGTTAGACACACTAGGTTAGTAGGTGGGTGCCACCCATGTAAAGTTTTGGTGGAAACTTGTTAGATCAGGTAAGCAGGGTTTTTGTTTTCTATTTCTTTTCTTCAGCACAGACGGTAGTTAGGCCCTGTTTTGTTTTATTATTTTCTTTAATTTGGCACCACCTAACTGTCCCTTTCTCCCCCACAGCTTGTATGAGCCTTTCTGGGATTTTTGTTGTAAATAAATCCCTCTTTTATATCACATTCACTTGGACTCTGTCGAATATTTTGTGGTTGTTGTGTTACTCCCCTTCTCCTCACAAAGGGGGGGTGGGGGGGGGGCGATGTAACATGTATTTGAAGGATCATGGCATGTTACGTTTTTAATTAAACTTATTCAATTGTGATTTTAATTGTGTTTCTTATTTAATGGAAACACAGCTACTGTCAGCATAAGTGGGCACAATCCAGTCAGCTCCAAGTTTCAGTCTATCCATGGCTCTGGTTCCAGAACGGGGTCGGGGCAAAACAACTTGGTAGTTACAAGTGGGGGGAGGGGGAGGGGGGGGGTGTCTGGTTTAAACAGTTACGACACTGAGGACTTAAAGGGATAAAGGTTTCAGGATCACAGGAGGGAGGTGTTATGATACTAAAGTGTTTGAGACGTCTGGATAGTGACATGTTGAAGCTAATGGCATTTTCTTTTTTTATTATTATTTATTGAGATACAGTATTTTAGAAGTCGATGGGGTGAAGAGGGTGGGGGACTTAATGCGAGTCTTATGAGATGTCAATGTTAGGATATGATGGTGGCCTCCGTTACTATAGCGGGATCTTCTATGTCGGCTTTACTTTGAACCATCCTCAGTTCCAGCTGAGGCGGACTGGGCCTCCGACCGGGACCTGCCAACTCTGAAGGAGAGATGGGGGGGAGGAAGGGAGACGAGGCAAAGGAAAAATAGATTTCACTGTGACGGGTTTCAATTAATGTATGATGGAAACCCTGGTGCTTATCCGTAATAAACCCACAGTAACAACAAAAGCTTTTAATGCCGATTCTGCGATCCCTATTGGTAAAAATACTTAGATTAAATTCTATAAGTGGGTTTTGTGTACTCTTAAATCAGGGTTTCTGGAAGTTTCATCAGACCATTATGGCAACAGAAGTCAGCCAGTGGCTGAGAAAAAAAAAATATCCAGCCATCTGCCAATAAAATTTGAACTTACCCTTAGTGGACATGAAAAAGCCAACTAGCTGCTAAGACACCATTGTAAGACCATATTAGCTGGCTGGCAAGGGTATATTAACAGCTAGTTACCAGTAGCCAACCAAGCGCCTTGAATCACAGAACTCAGCATGCAACTCAAAGTTTTGCTTAACAGTAAAGTCCAGCAAGAAACATGGCATATATGAAATTAAATAGTCCCGCAACAACAAAATTGAAGACTTGTGTACAACTTACCATGAGCATAAGATATGGTCCTCTGGATAACATGGTGCATCACTGAAAAAGTCTTTTCACAGGCCGTCTAAGAGAAACAGAAACAAATTATTCTCATTTGTGACTTGAAAGGAGTGAGTGTGAATGACTATGCATTTCTGTGTGCGTTTGTACACCTTTAGATCATTGGGGTAATGATGTGTCCATGCAAGTAGCATGGCTGCAAACAGATCTCCAGTTCCTACGAAGACAGCGTCCACTTTGGGGACTTCTATTCGAACTCTCTGTGTCGTCCTGCTTCCATCTGGACGAACTGAGCAGCAGAGGAGAGACACTGTATGGGACAGCGCCTCACAAAATTATTTACACCCTTTGAACTTTTTGACTATTTTCCACATTTTAACCATAAACTTTGATGGATATTCTTACAGTTTTTGTGACAGATATTAAGTACAGCATAATTAGGAGGAATTTCTTTTCAATTAGTAAATATATGTTGTTCAACAGCTGCAGAGTGGCACATTAGGTAGCACTGTTGCCTTGCAGCAAAAAGGTCCTGTGTTCGATTCCCGACCCATGGTCTTTCTGCATGAAGTTTGCATGTTCTCCCTGTGCATGTGTGGGTTTTCTTCGGGTTCTCCGGCTTCCTCCCACAGTCCAAAACCATGACTGTCAGGTTAATTGGTATCTCTAAATTCTCCCTAGGTGAGTGTATGTATGCATGGTTGTTTGTCCTGTCTGTCTCTGTGTTGCCCTGCGACAGACTAGTGACACCGCTTCTCGCCCGAAATGTTCGCTGGAAATAGGCGCCAGTACCCCTCCAGACCCCACTAAGGGACAAGGGTGTAAGAAAATGGATGGATGCTGTTCTACATAAAAAAAAAGAAAAAATTGATTTGTTCTACATTACTTAAATAAAAATCTGGAAATTGGGGTTTGCCTTTGTTTGCAGTCCGGTTTTACTCTGATACCCTCACATAATAAAATCTGAGTTTCTAAATGTACAAAGTTGATTAAACGTTGTTCCAAGCCAAATCTGAGCTATACTTCTCAGATGTTCATTAATAAAACACTTTGAAAACTGTGAAACATTTTCCTCAAACTGTGGAGAAGTTCAAAGGGTGTGAGTACTTTTGTAAACCATTGTAATTTCTACACGTGTTTAGAAACGCACACAATATTGTATCGTGTTCCACCCACCATGACGCTGGCTACCCAGTGAGACGAGGAAGCGGTCTCCCAGTCTGGGGGGAAGATCAGAGGAAGTAATAACGACTGTGTCTGGGCCCATTGCGTGTAGAAGGTCCATCACCTACAAAACACCACACAGTAAGGTAACAAGAGTTCAGTTATGAATCAGAAACTCCTGCTGAGAAAAGAAAATGTATAGCTTAAGAAAGCTGGATCCACTACCTCCACAGCATCCTTCTGAGAACTGATGTTTTTCCCTGTTAATAATCTAAAACAACAGAGTAGAAAGTTAGCCAAGTCCAAATAAAAAACTAAAAACAGCTCAAGTTTAATCAAAACTCAAACTAAATGTTGAGTTTTGATTAAAATGTTTTATGTAATTCAACTTTTTGAAAGAAAGCTGTTTGAAGTGAAACTGAAAGACCAGTAGGGGGAGAAACAAGACAAAACTGGACCAGAAACATTTTCTAGGGATCTTCAGCTACATCCAACAAACTTCTGTTTATAAAGCCACGACAACCAGAATAGGTTGTGGCAACTTTCCCATTTACCTAGATATACTTTTTAATGGTGAAAAAGAAAGTACACCCTCTTTCAAGTGTAGTTTTACATTTCAGGACATAATTTTGATCTGGACTACCAGGTTTAACTCAAACTACAGAAAAAAAAGTTCACTTTGGTATTAGTCAAGTCAAAATTAAAATTAAATCAAGTCAAAATTAAATAGGTGTTGATGAAACACTAAGTGCACCCAATGATTTAACGGCTTCTGGATGATGGTCAGTTAAATGAAGTAAAGGCCAGAGAGTGTTCCCTTTCTTTTCACCATGTTAATTCATGTAAAGACAGCCGAGACTACAAACCAATCCCATACAATTAACACAATGCATCATCAAATAATCTGGATGATTTTAATTCACTCCAAATAAGGGGCAGTGAATTCCTTGCTAAGACAGATTTAATACTTTAGAACACATCCTAAGCGATTAAGTCTAGATATAAAACAAAGAGACATCCAAAGAAAGCCCCCTTGAAACAGCACCGAAATACAATTATGTGTAAAAGAAAAATATTTTTAAAGCCTAGACATTTCTAAAAGTACTACCGTATTTTTCGGACTATAAGCTGCTACTTTTTTCCCCACGCTTTGAACCATGCGGCTTATAGCCTAGTGCGGCTTTTCTGTAGATTCTTCTCCAACTTTAGCAGGAAGTGAATCATTGGAAGTCAATTTTCATTTATAACAAGCACATGCTAGCAGCAGGCACGACAGAGAAATTGCTTCCAACCCCCTCATCAAGGAAACCACACGAATAAGTTCATATTATGCAGCTTTTAAGTTAAAGGCTATCAATCTAGCAGTACAGATTGATAGCTGCTGCATGTAAGCTCAGCGTGAACAAATCAATGGTTCGGCGTTGGAGACGGAGGGATGCGTCCTTAATAAACCAGAGGGCTGCATCTTTTGTGAAAAACCATCCTGGTGAAAAACTGAGAGCGGTGGAGATATTAGCAGTTTATAGCCTGCTCCAGTTTTTTTATTTTTTTATTTTTTAAACTTTGTTGGTGTGCTCTATAGTCCAGAAAATATGGTATATGTAACATTTAACTAAACTGCACATTAAAAGACCAAATTCATTTTAGAACAATTATTATTCACACTCCCAGCAAATTTAGATGCATAATTATTTTTCGTACAACCTAGAAGTTGTGTTTTTGATGCAAAAGGAGCAAATATTTTGGAAAAAAAGAAATTTGTTTTAATGTACTGCCCATTTGGAAAATGTCATGTTGAAAACAATTCATACTCTTCTCAGTAATTGGTAGAAAAATCTTTCTTGACATGACTTTGTTCTCTGCAAGCTTCCACTGGAGTTTTGATTTATCAATTTTCCTTTTTATTTTTATTACTATATTTTCTTTTAAGTTTTCAAAGTTTAGAACATACAAATAGACAAACAGGACCCAGATGCTATATATATATATATATATATAT